CTGGCTGCCGAGATGACGGAGCAGTTTCGTCACGTCCTCAGCACAAAGCGCATGAACGAACTCACATCACGATCATCGCAGTCACGCTCCTCATCGCCAGCACCCAGGGATTTCGGAACCCCCCAGCCGCCGCCATCGCAGTCTGCCCCGCCGACGTACGCTTCCATCAAGAACATTCCGCTCGTCCCTGAGGCGCCCCGTGATGCGCGATCGCTCCGCTTCAAGAACATGCTGCATTCGCTCTCCAACATGCCCGTACGATGGGAGAACCCCGGACTACTCGACGAGGCCCTTCGCGTCATCCCGCTCGAGCAGATCTACAACGAGGCCGAAGAGGAGAGCCAAATACTGCAGGCCGAGGGCGAGAGCATGGGAAAGAAGGCTGCCTGGGGCTACCAAGACTGCGTCGTCCGCGCACTCCTCCGATGGTTCAAGCGATCCTTCTTCTCTTGGGTCAACAACCCGCCGTGCTCGCGATGCTACTCACCAACCGTTGCCGTTGGCATCACACCACCACTCCCTGACGAACAAGCCCGCGGCGCCAACCAGGTCGAGGCTTACCAATGCTCGCACGAGGGCTGCAAGAACTACGAGCGCTTCCCACGATACAACGACGCATTCGTCCTTTTGCAAACCCGCAAAGGTCGATGCGGCGAGTGGGCCAATTGCTTCAGCATGCTCTGCCGCGCTGTCGGGTCAAGAGTACGCTGGGTGTGGAACGCAGAGGACCACGTCTGGACCGAAGTCTACTCTGTGCACCGCAAGCGATGGGTCCATGTCGACGCCTGTGAAGAGGCATGGGACAAGCCCCGGTTATACACTGATGGTACGTTGCTTCCTGCATATCCATCTCCTTCATCTACTAACAGAGTTTTCAGGCTGGGGCAAGAAGCTCTCATACTGCATCGCCTTCTCGGCTGATGGCGCCATGGACGTCACTCGCCGATACGTCCGCGACGCTAAGCACGCTGCTGAGCGCAACCGCGCACCAGAGGCAGTCCTCCTTCACATCATGGACGAGATCCGAGCAACACGACGCGCCAACATGTCCAAGCAGGACAAGTTCCGCCTGCAAGGTGAAGACATCCGCGAAGCCAAGGAGCTCCGTGCCAGCGTCATTTCATCAATTGCACACGCCGTCAGCAAACTCAGGCCTGAGGACATCATCAATGCCCAGGTCACTCGCCGCCTAGACCCAGATGCCCAAAAGGCATTGGAGGGTCGTATGAGCGGCAACGCTCAATGGATACGAGCACGCGGCGAGGGTGGCCAGCAACAGAATCAGCAAGACCCCCGAAACCAGCATCCGCGTTGAACTCATCGGCGACCCCCACCTTTCATTCATCACACCTGGTATCTTTCCATCGCGCCATGCCTACAACGTAAGCCGAGTCCAGCGACAGTGCACTGCACCTAGCTCTCGAGCATGTAGAGTTCGATAGAAGCCGAGATACCCATCCGACATGGCCCCGCGACATTCGTTACGCGGACGACACTCCCGCCTGTACAAACATAGAGCCTGGGATTCATCGTCATTTCGATTCATTTGCGCTGGCGTTCCAGGCGCAACATCCAAGAGACATATGCGATAAACTCTAATGTCTGCACCTACCTCATCAGAGGCTTTTCCTATTACTTTGGCATCACTTTGGCGACCGATTTTCGTTGCTTCACTGCATTCTTCACTTCGACTTCTTTGTGTGCACGCGGGGGTTTGCGGCACTGTTTATACCATTTTGCCATTTTGGTTTACGATTTGCGATATCTCCTATGTCTTTTCTGTATGTTTACGAGCATTTTGGCACTTTGTACGCACGACGTATGAGGTTTCACGTTTCAGTCATCCGTCGCAATACTGCTGGCACTTTCAGAGAAGGATGTGCTGTACACGGGCGGTGTGGGGATCCGTGGCATAGAGACTGTTGTGGTGGTGTGTAAGAGGGGTTGACGCGCGTCCATGGCGCCCAAGATACAGGGCTTGCTGCATGGTTTAGTGCAATAGGATGCAAGATAGAAATCCAGAGCCAAGATTGGCGATGTTTCTGCAAACCACATGCACTGTTTCCACCCATTTTCCACCTCAACAAGTTGCGTGATTGCCCGACTAGGGTGAAAGCTGATCAAAGTCAGTAGGTGAAAGATTTGCGGGGACGCGCGTTAAGAGTACGCAGGCTGGGCTTAGTGCAGACGCGGCAACCGCAGTCGATACGCTGCCAACACACGACGACAATGCTCAATGGCTATAAAACAAGGTGCTTCGAGTCTTTGAAGCAAGAGATAGAGCATGCGCCTTGTAAAGCCTATGAAAATGACGTTGTTGGAGTATTACAGCGAGCTTCTCTCGATCACGTTTGCTTCCTGCACCTGGTCAGGAACACGGGAAAGAGATCTCCAGGGTCCACCCATCAACGTTGAAACATGCCCTTTTCAAACGTCCGTCAAACAAGATGAAGAAATCATGATGCAAGCAAAGCAAACGTCATATATAGTGATAACTAGTTTCATCTGTATCATTCTGTTCGCACATGAGGATGAACGGTATTATGAATCAGCTACGCAGGTGAGATCAGCATCGTCAGGCGGGCCGTTCGTTTCTCCAGCTCTTGCCTAAACAAGTTAGCAGGCGCTGCTGCGCACAAGAGTCTAAAAATAACCCGTTCTCTGATATGTGATGACAGTCAGGCCGCTTTTTGCCAAGCAAAACTTGAGTTTGCTGACGAGGAACCATGAGGCTCTGCAACTGTGCCTCAACTCTGAAAAGTTTTGACTGTTCTAATGTGGACGCACTGATTCAAGAGTCTTAGCGCAAAGCGCGGAAGAACGACGGCAGTACCTCGCACAATTACCAGACACCACTGCCTTGGGAGCAGTCTAGGCTGGAGACGTGTCGGGTGGGGTTGTGCCGGGCTGACGGTATCCTTGAGGGCTGAAACGCCTATATGAGGGTTCGTACTGTGAATAATTGTGTATATGCTTGGGTCAATCTTGGAGATGGGTGAGATAAGAACGAGATGATGAAAGATCGCGATAAACACGTTACTATGGTGCTTGTAGAAGTAGTACTCAGATGGCATTGCATGTCCTCAAGACCGATATACCACCGCACTCAGGCCCAGCAACGCGCACACTTGTCGGCAGTGCTTCTGCGCATGCTAACAGCACACACGCCCTTATCCTACACAGCATAGTTGTGTCAGTCAGCACTCTTAGTGTCTTAGCTCATCAAAATCCACAAACGTCGCAAGCCCGCTGAGGCTGGTGAAGGCTAACCCAGGATCCGCCACTTGGATCCCGCCGCGCACAGACCGCCAGACCCCCAGCTGTGTGGCCGCTCAGCCCCCTTCGCCTGGGCACATTGCCTTGCGCATTTCAGCTGCCGTGTTTGAGGCAGTTTGCAGTTTGTACAAAAGCTCGTGGCGATCCGCACACTGTCATACATTTATCGTTCTGTCGTTTGACGTATAACCTGGTTCACCGACTCATATCCACGGGCGACCCAACCACCGCGGATTCACGATCGCTACTTCCCGTCTGTCAATTGACGCTGCTTCCTGAGTGACATCAGTCAGCCTTGCTTGGCTTACCACAACACCCACTCCCACCACCACAACAACAACACCAACAACCGCAAATATGGGCAAAGTCGGGCGCTTCGCGTGTATCCTCACGCCTATGTGCCTTACCCTCGCATCTTTAATATGCTTCGTCATTGTTATGCTAGGTCAAACGCCATGGTCGGGCAATAAAGCACCAGCAACAGCCTTGGGGCGCGATCTGTACTTCTTCAAGGTATGCCTCACCACAACTCTACAAGCCTGCTTATCTAACATGCACGGTACAGGCGAATACTGGAAATATTACAGCCGACCCTGACACCATCGCCGACAAGATCCCCGAAGGCATCACACCAGACGCCGCAAAAGAGTTCCTTGCCGCTCTAAACGGCAAGCTCTCCTCGAAAGAACTCAAGGACTTCTACCAGGTCGGCCTCTTCTCCTACTGCGAGGGCGACAAGGATGCCGAGTCTGGCGAAGAAAAAATCACATACTGCTCTGCGCGCAAGTTTCAGTTCCACTTCGATCCCCTGGCTATCTGGCAGATGAACAACACCAACATCCAGGAAGTTCTTGGCGACAAATATGACAGTGGTATGAACGCATACAAGAAGGCTGCTGGCTGGATGAACTGGGCTTTTGTTATCACCCTGGTTCTTACTGCTGTGGAGTTTGTGGTGGGCTTCTTTGCCATCTTTTCGAGATGGGGTAGCCTTGTTACCACTGTTATCTCTACCGTGAGTCTTTCCTCTCTTTCCTCCTAGCCAATCCCACTCTAACACCACACAGGCACAAACCATCTTCGCCATCCTCGCCGCCGCAACCGCAACAGCAATCTACGGCACCATCACCGGTGTCTTCAAGACCGTCCTCGAACCCTACAACATCGGTTCCTCCATGAGCAGCCAGATGCTCTCCGTCCTCTGGCTCGCCGTCGCCTTCTCCATTGGCTCCGGCTTCTTCTGGCTCATCAGCGTGTGCTGCTGCAGTGGAAAGAGCGGCCATAAGAAGATGGTCGTCGAGAAGACCCCTTACACATACGAGAGAGTTGCCAGTCCGGCATTTGGCCAGAGCGGGCACCAGATGTCAAGCTGGCCCAAGAGCCAGCAGGACCCGCCCAAGATGGGACAGCCGACGGCTTATGAGCCATTTAGGTCGCGCGTCTAAGTCTGAGGACAAAGGCACTGCGTGGATTGAGACGTCTTGGAACGTATCGTGGAAGTAAGAACGCGCGAGTTCTTTAATGACATGTACGACCATTTTTGCGGGAATTTACCTGGGTACTATATATACCCCAACGGCGTTTGTTTTTATAGCATCGTTATGGATTCGGCCCTCTGTGGCTTGAGGGCGTTTGGATAGCTTTGCACATATCGATATGAATCAACATCAATCATTCAAACCCACGTTTTTCATACAGCATATCCAATGGCTTGCAGCTACCCTTTATCCCTTGTTCTCCAATCGCGTTACAACAACAGAAATAACAATCGTACAGACAGCTATCATGTACGCAGAGACACCAAACCCGCCTTGTAGATCAAATTGGAACTTCCACCACAGAACGCCAAAGAGTAAGCTTGCTAGGAAAAAGATGACCAGGATAAGTAAAGAGATGATCTCACGATCCCAGCCCTCCAAGAAGTAAATACCCCATCCTTCCGCTGGCTGGCCTTTCTGCCCCTGGAGAACGCCACAGGTACGTTTTGGTAGTTGATTGAGAATCCAATCATCCTCCTCATGGACATCGGTGGCGCATGTAAATAGACTCGCCAGGTACTCTGGTGGAATAGGAGGATGGGTTTTGGGTGGACTTGGGGAGTACTCGTACTCCACACCGACCTTGTTAGGAGGTGGAGTGCACTCGCAGTATTTCCAGTTCGCAGGGTCGGCAATGCAGTACAAATGGTGCTGTACGTCTACACTACCGCCCATTGGGAGGCGGAACTTTACGAAAACGATTCTTTGCACAGTTTTGAGCCGCGCGATGTTGAGGAAGCGGCCGCGGTGAGTGGCGTACTGTCGCTGGAGGAAGCGCAACAGTGTCCGATCTGTAGTGATTTCATCGACACGGTCTTGCTTGACAATCTTGCGTCGTCGATTGCGGTGCATGCACATTGAGAGATGAAGCACTTTCTTTGTGGTAGACGGGTTGGTAGAAGTTGAGCAAGAGGTTGTTGCGTATGGTGAGTTGTGCTGTGGTAGACATGACGGCGATGACTTCGAAGATCCTCCGAATGCAGTCCCTACTTTGGTGATTGCGTTTCGAAGCCATCGATCAGGGCGTGGGACAATATACTGCTGATTTCCAGATTGGCGGTTGTGCGGTGCTGCGTGTACTTTGACGCCAGAAGAACGCTGCATGCGGTCTACTAGCTCAGCTATACCGCCTTCGCGAAGCTCCATTATGTCGCTGTATATGGAGTCACCACAATTCTACGCAGTGGTTAGTGGTGCATCTTATGTCGTAAAAAATGCATTCTGGGCGGGAAAAACTTACACATCGCCAGCGTAGGCGAGTCTTGTTTTGGTCCAATGCTGGCTCAAGAAGCCCCATGTTCACTAACAGATGGTCCCTAGTAAAGAGCAAAGTATCCAGATTCAGATGGAAACCGGTAGCAATAAGAAAGAGTGCAAATATTTCGCTGCAAGACATGCTCAAGGCTTGACTGACATCTCTGAACCATTCGTGCCAGGTCGACATCGTCTTTGACTGAGCCGGCAACCTCAGGACGTCATGCTTGACAATACCTTCGTCGTCGCAACCCAACGCCTCCTTTGTCACCGTTTCAGTTCGATCCGCTTGTGCCAGATTAGGTATTACAAATGCTTGTAATTGATTGCGAAAGGTTTTGAATGCTTCGCTCTCAACTAAGAACTGTCGAAAGGTCACCAAATCCTCGAAAGCGTCTTCATTGACCGGATGTGAATCAGCGCCATCGTCCTCCTCGTCAGAACTTTCGTTGTTGCGTTCGCTGGGAGACGACTCCGTGCTTACACGGACGATTTGCAATTTCTCAATGACAGATTTTGCTAGAGAAGCCGATTTTGCGCGCACAAGCCGCGATGCTAGATGCTCTAGTCTCTCTGTCGCTTCACCTTCTAAGAGGCCTGCGTATGCTCGAAATAGTCGGCGTAAGTTCCTCTCAAGCCTTTCGGGTCCGATATTCTGGGCTTCTATAGCGCGCTTATACAGCGACAACAGTGCTTCGTCTTCGTAGAAGATAGAGAGTAACACCTTCGTAGCTGTTGCAATTTGAACTGCGGAATAGCCGCTGCCTTTTGATATATCGGATGCCGATGATGCTAAAGACGTCACCGAAAAGATCGAGGCAACCGATGCTGCGTAAGAAGACGGCCCTGACGCGCTGTCATTGTAGTCCCACTCAAGATTCTCAAAAGTACTTTCATTCACAAGTGTCATCTTCAACCAGCTTTCGATGGGGTGAGTGGGAAAAGGCCGAGCTTGTTCAAACTCTTCAAGCACATTCCTTGTAGTTCCTTCATCTCTTATCCCTCTTGCTTCATCGTCTGAGGTGTCGTCCTCCCCAGAAATCTCGGATCGCATCTCGTTGAAGATAGTCGTTGTATCCTCCGGACCCCATGGCAAATCGTCTCCCGGTGTGAAGTCCTCGGGGTCAAGAGGTGCCTTCATTATTCGCATGAAGTTCTGATCCTCAAGAATCATACCTACTGTCTGTTTAAATGTCTGATTGAGGTCTTGAGCCTCGGCGGCTTCAGCGACCTCTCTAGCTTCACCTTCCAGTTGCTCCTTCTCTTCACGCTCCTTCTTTTCTTTAACCTCTCGCTTATGCATCTCCGTCGTTATCCAATTCTTCCCCTTCTTCCTATTGTTAAAACCAGGCCCTAAGCTGCCCCATCCAGAACTTGCCTCAGCTTCGCTGTCTCTTTCCGCGACGCATCGCCTGCCCTTGTTGGACTTGTGATGTGCGCGAAGTACATCGAGTCTTGCAAAATTGACTCCGCAGCCCCAACTTCGGCCATTTGGAAGTACGCCGCCACATGTGACTACGCGTTCCGGGTCGTGAAGTCTCATATGGCGAGCTTCTTCGCCTTCTGCGGCCGTACTTGCTGCTTCAGGTTCTTTAGCAGCACCCTCAGCTCCTTCTGCCGCAATACTTTCCTCTTCTTCACGCTGAATGCGTTCCTGTTCTAGGCGTCCCTCTTCTTCCTTACGCTTAGGACGCTCCATCTCTGCTTGTTCAGCAGCTTCCTTCGCTGAACGCTCTTCCACCTCTCCCTTCTCACGGTCTCTCTTCTCCACCTCATAGGCGTCCTCACGGCCCTCCCGGATTTCTTTCGTACGATCGGCCAGCTTTTGTATCTCCTCCTTAGTCAAGACACGCAAAACTATCACGCAATCCACGCGCTCTTCGAAACGCTCCTTAGCTTCCTCCAAAGCTTCAGGGTTAACTAGGCAACGATCAATTCTTGTCCAGCGAGCTCCGACAGGAATGTCTTTGCCCTTTAGAGCGTCCTTGAGTGGTGCAACTCCCTCGCGGATAGGCTCAGGTTCCTCAGGGAACTTCTTAGTAGGCTTGCGAAGGATTCCCTTGACAGGCGCAACGAGTTTTCCAGGAAGGTCATTATGGAATTCTTCAGCCTCAGTCTGTGTATGTTCCATGTCCGTTACCGAACTATCCTGTTTTGTCTTCGCCTGCTTTGATGCATTATCTGTCGCAAGGCTGGGCGAGCTGATCTTCACACGGTGAGTATTGGGGCCGTTCGCTGGCTTGACCTTGAAGGCTGAGAGGTTCGGTTTCTTCTCAATCCTATCGTCCTGAAAATCTCGTACTATTCGGCTCTCGCGTCTACTACGGTGGCTGCGTACACTGCCTTCGTTCATCTCCCCTGCTTGTCTCCGCGTGACCAATACCTTCCTGTCACTTGCATTGCTGCCTTTTTCGCTGCCACCGTCAGGGTTTCCGCTAATGACGAGTTCTGCCATGCCGTCCTCGCCTGGGATGAGTCGCATGGTGCGACCCTCCATGTCGCCGTTGAACTGCAGGCTGAGTGGGGCATTCGCGTCTACTCTGAGGCGAATCTCGTTGTTGCCGTTGCTGGTGACGGCCGTGTGCCTGTCGCTTCCGGAGGAGCCATAATGAGAGGGAATTGACGGTACCCTAGAAGCTCTCTTTGCGGCACTATGGATGTGGTCGATCAACGGAGCATCAGTACCGCGTTGGTTGTTGATGTATTCCAACGCTTTCATCTCATCTCGCCTGGCCTTCGGTGGAGCACGCTCTTTGACCTTGCGACCTTCCGCATCAGTGGGACGGCGGCGGCGAGGAGGAGCTGGAGCTTCGGGGATGGGAGCCTCGACTTCGGACTCATACTCGTCGCTACTATCGAACGCGGCGGGAGCTGATCGACGCCGCTCAGCCTTAGTGCTGTCGTGCACATAGACCTGACCACCTCTGGCGGAATATTCGGTTTGAATTTCACGCGGTGGCGTTGACACAGAGTGTGGTAAGTTAGGGTTTCTCTGAACATATTCCCCTGGTGTTTCAGGAGGTTGATTGTGGATTGATATGATCGTATCGCAAGGTTGCTGGGACTCGTTCTTGGACTCGAGTTGGGGCTTCGCAGAGCGATCTACTTCGACCTCCAACGGTCTTGGATCTGATGTGCGCAACATATCACTCCAAGGCGGCGTGAGGGAGGGGGGATGTAAAACCGGGTTAGCATCGGCCACGTCGTCATGAATCTTGAGATGGTTCACTTCTTTCCAAAGGTCCTCTTCCAGCACAGCATTAATCTGAAGAGCCTGCTTGCGCGCTATTTTGCGTGTAGTGATGCGCTCCGTCTTGTCCGACAAATCTCGTGGCGCCGTCCCAGCATCGTCGACAAGCGTCTCGTATCCGATCTCATGTGGTGAAACGAATGCGGGTAGAAGTTTTGGAGACGTCTTCGCAGAATGTACATTATCATCGAAGTTCTCGAGAGGGGTTGAACTACGATTGCTATTATTGAATACGTCAGGAAGAGTTGGTTGAGGAGACCGAGGGCCGACGATGCGAATAGGGGTAGGCATGTCGGTAAGTGAGTTGATGGAGATATTCCGTTTGTGCTTGTGCGGGACTTGCATAGGAGTGGGATTTGAAGATAGTTCCTCATCATCAGAATCATCATTCAACGCCTGTTCACTTGGTTGTTGAGTAATGTCTGGTCTGTTTCGATCCATCTCCCGGATGAGTATCGAGAAAGCTAAGTTGAGAGCAGAGAAAATCTGTAGGAGATTGTGTTGGTGAAGGAACCAACCTCGAAGACGTGGTTTAGGTCGCTGTCGACCAGGCTGACGCTCGATGTGTCAATCTACGCGCCTGCCTCGCAACCCCGCCCCACGACCTCCAGCACGAATCAGCCTCGCGTGCGCCACCACATACTCGGCTTCTGATAACATCGATTAATGCTTGGGATTGGGTTGATTAGACTGGATAGAGCGATCTGCGATGAGGCTGTGCAATTGCTGGAGTCACAGAAGTCAGGATAATGCAAGCCAACTGCAAAGGCTGGGACCTCTGTAACACGGCTGTGAACACCTTGGTGCTTGGATACGTAATGGAGAAAATACTTGACAGAATGCTGATCGATTGTCAAGAACAGCGCATGATGCGCATTGTTGTGTTGGTTTATTGGAGAAGACGCGGCGTCTTTATTGAGGCTGTATCGTGAGCCGGGCGGTCCATTGACAACTCACATGTGGCTTGAATATTGCCTGTTACTACAACTTGTGATATCGAGAGTGATAATAGAGAGAAGATGGAAGAGAGAGCACAGCGGGGGACGGCGCTGCAGCTGGCGGCTGTGCGGGAGGCTCACGTGGCGCCCAATTGCAGAAACAAGCAATGCGCGGATTCGCTCAGTACCATTGCACCCACACTTAAGACTTCCACCGTCTAGAAAAAGTGAGCTTTCCGCCGCCAATAGCGAGAAGTCGTAAAACTGATCTATTCAGAGGGCCAATGTCCACCAGGTGTTAAAGCCGAGAGTTGCCAAGGCGCTAGTCTCTAAGCGATATCACTGCGTACAACCATCGTCATCAATAAGCGCCCCATGAATAGCTCTACTTACGGTAACTAGGTCGTCACTTCGAGAGCAAGCATAACAGTGTTGTCTACCTCGCAGCGTTCATGCATGTGTGAGTCTGCGATAAGACATCCCGGTGCTTATACCATCCAGGCCGGATCTGGCTTTCCAACGAATAGGATAAGCTGCAGACAGCCACCTCCAATGGCGACATTGGACAGTTCAGCCTTTTTTTTGGTCAGCCGCACTGAACCTGGATTTTGGTACACACGGGAACGACTTACAAATATCGGAGACTTTATATGGCTTCGGACGAAACTTTACGAACATTTCAATCGAAAGGTCATCGTCAACGTCTCCGCACTGACACCTTACCAAACATGCTTCGGTGGTCTCTTAGATGCTGATCACGCCTTCGTGTTGCTTTTTGACAAGCATCGCGGCCGGAGGGGTATCATCTTCGGGTAATGCATTGGCTTACATGGCTTGCACTACACCGATCCCATGTACCAAGCAAACATATCTCGGACCTCTCCGCGCGGTCGTCCGCTTAGATGAGACCCTGCTATCTACTTACCTTACACATGTCGCAATCATTGGTTGATGAATCATTAGATCTTACCTCCGATCACGTTTTATGTCCGCTTACTCCGCTAAAACCACACGCACCTTCGTTGAACTACTGTCAGAAGAGAAGTCGACGAGTCGCAACACTGCGAAAATCGGGTCGAGCAAGGACTCCCTGACTTCTGTCCTATAGCCTGCCGGTACGTGGTGGAGGGTAAGACTTACCCATGTAGATTGTGACTGCTTCAGGAGCTATCGGAGACATATACGAACAGTACGGCATATCCGTCTCTGACTCCGCTGACATATTGTGGGACTTTGTTATTCTCTTCTGCCAAGAGCCATGCCTTCATGATGTGCAAGAGAGTCTGACAAACTTCCGTGCTGGGCATGTAAGACATGGAGTTAATGTGGTAGCCGGAGTGGAGGATATAAGCCTACAGAACAGGCTCTCTGTGCCAGTACAACATCACCACGTTTCAACCTTTTGTCCTAGAAGCACGCTTACCTTGACGGCTTCTCAACTTACCCTCACCTGCCACTCCTGAGTTGCTACTACTAGCTATATACATACTTCCTTGGCCCCCCCTACTATTTCCTTCCAATTGCACAGCCTCTACAATAACATCGCCAAAATGTCATACCTGTTCAAACATTCTAGCGTTGGGACCTTAGCACATTACATTAAGCATCGCAAATTCGACTATACCCGCACAACAGCAAAGCCGATATCTGCTTCATCATCGACCGACGACCTCCCCTTCCCAAAAGAAGATGTTATCACAGACGCAGCTGTTGGAGCAGAGCTTAAGCAGCACCAGACTACACTTGTCGATTGGAATGGTCCAAGCGATCCAAGCAATCCTCAGAATTGGCCTCAATCCCACAAGATACTTGTGACAGTCTTGCTCTGCGTCTACACCTTCGCCGTGTACGTCGGCTCCTCGATATACACTTCCTCACAACAAGCTGTCATGGACAAGTTTGATGTCAGCCACGTCGCTGCCTCACTGGGTATCGCGCTCTACGTGCTGGGTTACGGTATCGGATGCCTGCTCTTCTCACCACTATCTGAAGTACCGGCTATAGGCAGAAACCCTCCGTATGCGATATCTGGTTTCTTCTTCATCATTTTGTGCATACCAACCGCGCTGGTGGACAACTTCGCTGGTCTGATGGTACTGCGCTTCCTCTTGGGATGTAAGCAAGACCCCTTCTCGATTTGCTTGTGAGATACATACTGACTTTCCACTTTCACATTTAGTTATGGCGTCGCCCTGTCTTGCAACCGCTGGTGCGTCTCTCGGCGACATCTGGACCATGGCGGAGTTCCCATTCGCTGTCGCCCTTTGGGCTGCCGTCGCAACCTTGGGACCTGCGCTCGGCCCGACTCTATCTTCATATGCCGTCAAGGACTTGGGCTGGCGCTTCTCGAGCTGGGAGCTGCTTATTATTGCCGGTCCCGTATACCTCGCCATACTCTTGGTTTTGCCAGAGAGCTCAGGACCCACCATCCTGTACTACAAAGCAAAGCGCATGCGAGAGGATACCGGAAACCAAGAGTTGATGTCGGCCTCGGAGCGAAAGCAGAGGGATATGAAAGTCAGTAGCTTGCTGTTCGACGCGCTTGTCAAGCCTTGGGAGATTAACGCCCTGGATCCTGCTATCTTGTTCACCACGGTGTACATGGGTTTATGCTATGGCATCTACTACTCATTCTTCGAGGTAAGTACCCATCTTGGTCAGATTATAGACAACACTGCTGACATGTACATCTTAGTCTTTACCTCTCGTTTATCCCGTCTACTACGGCTTCAATGCCGAGTCCACAGGCCTCATCTTCCTCTGCATCCTTCCAGCCTGTCTTTCCGCCTTTGCCGCGCATGTGCTGTACCTCAAATACCGCGTTTTCCCACGCCTCATGAATGGGACGTTTGGCGAACTCGAGAACCATCTATGGCCCGGTATGGTCGCCAGTCCCGTCATTGCAGTGGGCCTGTTCATCTTCGCATGGGCGTCCAGACCCTCGGTCCATTGGATGGTGCCTACCATTGGCCTCAGTCTTACATGTTTTGGCATCTACTTCATCGCTCAGAGTGTCCTGCTCTACATTCCCAACATTTACCCGACATACGCAGCCAGTATCTTCAGCGCCAATAGTCTGAGCAGAAGCGCGTTTGCATTTGCGGCGATCCTATTCGCAAGGCCCATGTTCCAGGGTATTGGGATCGATGGTGGTGTGAGTTTGCTGGCAGGCTGCATGGTGCTGTGCTCGCTGGGCATCTTTGCACTCTACAGGTTTGGCAAGACGTTGCGACAGCGGAGTCGCTTCGCTGTTGTCTGATGATAGAGATGTAATAAGTGTAGGGCTATCGGTTGCTGCCCAGTGGAGAACGTGAGGTTTTACTGTATGAATTAAGAGAGCGTGTTCAGAGAAACGAGTTTTCTAATACCCAATGAGTAACAATAGACATATGCGAATTTAATATCACTGAGTCCATTGCTATAGTTTCTCCAAAGGCAACGTGAAGTCTGCTTAAGCTCGCAAAGAGTTTGCCGCGCAGTCGTATTTGATAAGGATCGGCGAACGCCAGCTCACGATTTGCGCCAGCACCCGCCGCGGGTCTGCAAATCACCTCCAGGGCTCGTACCGATTGCGCAACTCACCTCAGTCCCTGGATTGCTCGCAGCACGTATCATTTTAGTAAAAAAATCTCCAAGACAGGCTTCAGCGCAGTATGTTCGTATTCTAACTCCAGCCTACTCGCCAGGCAGTCTGCGGAAGTGTGCTCGCCTCGAGGTCGCATCCTCACAAGATCTGCATACTCATGATAACGGGCTTCGGCGCTGCAGATGAGTCAGAGCACGACCAGTCTCTGCCTTACAACTCATGTTGCTCTGCGCTTTCGATAGCTCCCGTCATCCTCAAACCACGGGTCCCATAGCAGCGCGTGTGCTAGCTTCCTGGACGTGTCGTTTTCGCGAATTCGATGGATAGCGTTTGTCGCGGACCTCCCGCAGGAAAAACTGGTCCGAGGCTAGACCCACCACATGTCTCCACCAAGAATAACCTATCGTCAGTCTTGGCTCATCAGACGGAGAAGAAACATCAGGCGGATAAGATGATATTTGAAGGGATCGCCCGAAACAACAAGGCTAGAGCGCTCGAGAATATCTCGTATTTGTATAATCTGTTGCCCGCACCAGGAGCAAGGGCGGGCGGGCGGGGGAAGAAAGAGACCCTCGTTGAAGGATGCCATTCTGACAGGGCTGAAAGTGCCTGTCCCAAAACGGCATGGTTAACGCTCGGTGCCCCTGACTTAACCATCGCTTGAGCCGTAGCCGACGCCTCTTCAATCACAACCAACACCAGTTTACTCGGACTCGTTCCCCCATTGGGATGAAACCACTGCACCCAAGCCGCCATGAGAAGATTCCTGCAGGCAGCCACCCAAAGACCCGGTGTTTACATTGTTCCGACTGCATATTCAGGAGGCCGTTGTGGTACCATACCAGTCTCTGGCCAACTCAACCGGCATTGCCGATCCATCGCAGGATGTAATATCATCACGAGCAGAAGTCGCTGACTTTATGTGCCAGCTCGTATAATGCGAGAAGAAACAACCACGCCACCGGAACGCAGGACCGACTGACCGTTCTGAGCCATTATTCCAGGCACCACTCACCCTCCTTCCTTTTGCTGACGCTCGAAGGAACCCTCTACGTTTTAACCGAGATTGATGCTATCGATACTCAGACACGGCCCATTCACCGGTCTTGAAGCTAGGGTAAGGCGTCACATGGAAGCGTTTCCAAAAGCCATGTTAATGCTTAGCGCTCGCGCAGGCGCAGGTACAGTTGGACGCCCTACGATACTTCAAACCGGAAGCGGCTAGAATCCAGGCACCTCTACCAATGGCATGGAACTACGGCAGCCATCGTCCTGTTTCTGCAGGTACACGATGCCGTCTCATTCTGCACGATGGGATTCATGCTACTAGGCGGCACAGTCAACGTCCGTTCCATCTCGCTCATGCAGGTACAGCCCTGTGGGCCAAGACTAGATATAGCGCAATCTCCCATGTCCTCTTTTCTCATCGTCAGTCGCACTGCTTTCCAGTTCGTCGTCAAGTCACTCTTTCGAGACTACATCCTAATTGCAGCATTTTTGCTTGCGTCCTTTCGTTGAGTCCGCTCATCACGATCTTTACTGGCCTCCGGCCGTCCTATCATTGAAAATTGCATATCGTTGCTAATACTGTTAATCTCATAATTATGTCTCCCTCAACCTTCACTCGCGCTGCTTTCGCAGCTGGGCTTCTTGCCTCTGGTGTCTCTGCGGCCTTCGACAATGCTGCTAAGACGAACATTGCTATGTACTGGGGACAAGGAAACGCTCAGATCCCACTGTCCGAGGTCTGCGCTGATCCTAACATCGACATCGTCAACATTGGCTGTAAGTAATGATATATATTCATCAGTGGATCAAGATTCTCCTCTAGACTTGGAAGCAATGCTAATGGCGTTGAACGACAGTCATCAACGCATTCCCTTCGGTAGTAGGCTCATACCCGGGAAGCAACCACGCCAACGCGTGTGGTAGCGAAGTATACTACGACCCGGTTCTGAAGAAGGACAGCAAGCTTTACAGCTCATGCCCTGGCGTGGGAGATGCTATCACTGCTTGCCAGAAGAGCGGCAAGAAGGTCATGCTCTCTCTCGGTGGTGGTTGGCCTACTGACTACTATCTGCCATCCCCTGAGGTCGCTCAATGGACCGCCGAATTCTTGATCAAAGCCTATGGTCCTCCCACCGCTGCCTGGAAGGCGGCTGGCAGGCCTCGTCCTTTCGGCGATGCCGTCGTTGACGGTTTTGACCTCGATCTCGAGGCACAAACCTACGACATGCCTTCAGCTGAGTACATTTACAAGAACTACGACGTCTTCGGAAAGTACGTCAAGAGCAACTCGAAGATGCTTCTCTCCGCCGCTCCTCAGTGCGTTGTCCCAGACGTCAGGATCTCACCAGTCCTCAAGGCCGTTCCCTTCGACTTTATCTTCACTCAGTTCTACAACACCCGAGTCTGCTCTGCCGCTCAGGCCGTCCAAGATATCAAGGACAAGAAGACTGGCACCTTCACTTTCGACAAATGGATCTCCGAGATCAAGGCCTCTGCGAACCCCAACCTCAAGTTCTACATTGGATTGGCCGCAGGTCCGGATGGTCTCCCCACCCACAAGGAAGACTACCTCACGCCCGAAGATGCGAACACTCTGATTACGAAGTACAAGGGCAACACCAACTTCGGCGGTGTGATGCTCTGGGAGGCCTCCGTTTCCGTCAGGAACCCAACCTACGGTCGGTCCTACGGTACTTGGATGAAGTATGCTGTCGAGGGTACTTTCTTGAAGAACTACAAGCCTATCGTGTCTTCCAGCACCAGGTCTTCAACAACATCTACTAAGGCCTCGACCACCAAGACACCTTCCAGCACCCCTGTTACTTCTACTAAGACCTCATCCACTAAGAGCTCGTCTACCAAGATCTCGTCCTCTACTCCCATCTCGAGCAGCAAGATCCCTTCCAGCACCCCTGTTACTTCTACTAAGAGCTCGTCCACCAAGATCTCGTCTTCTACTCCCATCTCGAGCAGCAAGATCCCTTCCAGCACTCCTACCCCCAGCACCATGATCACCAGCAGCAAGACCTCATCTTCTGCTTACGTCACCTCAAGCATGGTTTCTTCGTCTGCATACGTCACCTCCAGCTCAATTTCCAGCAGCAGCAGCAGCAGCTCAGCCTACGAAACTGCCTCTACCAAGAGCTCCAGCTCCGCCGAGACTGTTAGCAGCACCCTGATCGAGCCATCCTCCATCGCGACAATCTCTGCGTCTGCCTCTAGCAGCGAGTCAGCCTACGTACCTTACCCGACTGAGACCGCCAGCTCTGTTGAGACCATCAGCAGCTCCGCGACTGAGTCTTCTTCCATTGACACTATCTCTGCCACAAAGGAGGGTAGCTCAGTATACGTGCCTTACCCGACCGAGACCCCGAGCTCTGTCGAGACTGTCAGCAGCACCTTCATTGAGCCGTCATCCATTGCCACGATCTCCGCATCCGAGACTCTTAGCAGCTCTGTCTACGTTCCTTCCTCGAGCGAGACCTCTGCCTCCACCGACAAGTACCCCACTGACACTGTCTCCGCGACTACCCCTGAGGGCGTCTCTTCGACTTCTTGCAGCACCTCCAGCGTTGCATACTCCACTGGCGCTAGCTCCAGCGATGTCTACTCGGTGTCATCTGTCGTATACTCATCTGGTGTCTACTCTACTGCATCCCCGGTGTACCCCACCTCAACCTACTCTGCCAGCAAGGGAATAGACTACCCCGACTACCCTGCTGAGAGCTCCAAGAGCGATGCTGCATCCAGCACTGGCTACGAGAGCGTTCCATCGGTTACAAAGAAGCCTGAGTACTCTGAGTACTCCACTGCTCCTACTGGCTCTACCACCGCCACTGTCATCACCAGTAAGTTTATAGCGAGCTAAAATATCCATTGACTATCCGCTAATATCTGATAGCTACCTACGTCGATGTCTGCCCTACTGGTCTGACTACCGTCACCACCACGTACTGGACAACCGTCTGCACCAAGTGCGCCGCGAAGCCCACCGGCTCGGCCGACGTACCTGAGGGTTGGACCACCAGTGTCTACACTGCCAGCACTGTTACCGTGACTCTTACCAAGCCCATCGTCACGCCTACCAGCATGCCCGCATACCCATCGTCCGCTCCTTCCGTCGCATACCCCGCGGACTACCCTGCTAAGCCCGTGTCCTCTGGCAAGCCTGGATACCCTGCCGTCCCTGAGGCGTCTATGCCCGCATACCCAGCTGCTCCTAAGCCCTCCAAGGCTGCCGAATACCCAGCTGTTCCTGAGGCTTCCAAGGGCGCCGAGTACCCATCTGCTCCTCAGGGATCCATGCCCGCCTACCCTGCCGTTCCTGAAGCCTCCAAGGCGGCTGAATATCCTGCCATGCCCGAGGCACCCAAGCCAGCTTCTTCCTCTGCCGCCGCTGGCTACCCATCTGCACCCATCGCTTCCGAGTACCCCAAGAAGCCTGTCGAGCAGGAGGTTACCAGCACCGTCCGCGTTACCTCCACCCTCTCCAAGGTCGCCGTTCCCACTTACGCTCCCGCTCCTTACCCCACGGTCAGCGCTGGAGGTGCACCTTACGTCCCTGCCGGCTCTGCCAGCAGCTACGCGCCTATGCCTACCGGCACTGGTGTTGGTTCCGCTTATCCTTCTATGCCAGCGGAGTTCACAGGTGCTGCTAGCCGTGCTGGTGATGGATTCATGATGGTTGTTGGTGTTGTTGCTGCCGTTCTTGTTCTATAAAGTTGAGATGTGATGGTTGGAGAGTTGTTCTGATGTTTACGTTTCTCATGTCATTTCGTACGTTTTTTAGATACCACTATACATAGTTGTATGTCATGCGAGTACGCGCGATTTTCGCTCTCTGTTGCTTGATCTGTTCCTTGACGTGTTCATTGACGATGCTCTTCGTGTTTGAATGTCCATGCAAACACCCCCGCAATGCTCCGCCTTGAAGTGTGTGGAAACAGGAAGCTGGCAATGGCTTATTAATGATGTAGTGCGGAAGACGAGGGTTGCGGATCGGCAGCGGGAGGCCGCGGGGGAGAAGCTTGGAGCTTCGAAACGTGGTGGAGACAGCCCAGTCACCTTTCGTCATTCCCTCGCGAACACCAAATCCACGCAAACGCGCAGCCTTTGTCGACGCAACAAACTCGACCGTCAGAGCGCCGCGATGCCCATACAGAAGCCATTCCACTTACGTATCGTTCCACCTGACTGAAACTCGCAGCCTCACCTTGCGTTCGCCTAGCTGTTTGTAGAAGCATCACCTTTCACCTAGCATTTGCCTCTCCGCTTCTTCCTCGAGCTACTCTCACCAAACCCATATAAGCTTCTGGCAAGCCATATAACGTGTCAAGATGAAGTACACAGTCTACGACCGCTTGCTCAAGCGCGAAGTCGGACAGCAGCCCAGAAAATACTCCGACATTCGATCGATATACGGTGATCGCAAATGGATTAACGACCTTGACATCGTGAACGAGCTAGAAGGCCACAACGGATGCGTCAATGCTCTTAGGTATGCCGTTGCCCTACATGAACATCAGTAACACGACCTGACTGTATTAGTTGGTCAACTTCAGGCCGCCTACTTGCCTCTGGCTCTGACGACCATCGCATCAATATCCACTCGTACCACCCCGAATCGTCCACCTCGCAGTTCAGCCTCACCACTTCTATCGAGACGGGTCACAGGTCCAACATCTTCTCGGTGAAGTTCATGCCCTACTCGAACGATCGCACCATTGTCAGCGCAACAGACGATGTAAGGATATTCGATATCGAACACTCAGGGCACTCGGCCCTCCGGTCTACTGGCAGATCCAACAGCGGAGGAAGTGCAGGCAGAGCACGCAGCAGAGTGACGCTCACAGAAGCTGATACCAACGCAAAAGCATTTCGTTGCCACACCGACACAGTCAAGCGCATTGTCACAGAAGATAATCCCTTCTACTTCCTTACATGCTCAAACGACGGAGAGGTACGGCAGTGGGATGTACGGCAACCTTCAAGGGCATACCCGCCTGCACGGGACACCATGCTACCTGCGTGGGCAAGAGACGAAGACGCATCAGACAGTATTCCGCCGCCGCTCATCTCGTATGGCAGGTATGGACTGGATCTCAACACAGTATCTTGCTCGCCTAGTCAACCGCACTACATCGCATTAGGTGGAGCGCATCTCCATTGCTTCTTACATGATCGACGTATGCTCGGCCGTGACATCAACAACGAGCGGGGATCCAGACTTTCTAGTCCAGGAAACTGGAGTGAAAATGGTGAAGAGCTGTTAGGAAAGGCAACACAATGCGTCAAGAAATTTGCGCCTAACGGGAAGCGTCGCATGAACAGAAGCGATGGCGGTCACATTACAGCATGCAAGATTAGTGATGCTGAGCCAAATGAGCTCATTGTGAGCTGGTCTCAGGATCACATTTACAGTTTCGACATCCTGAGGGCCCCGGACGCCAGAGAGAATGTGAAACCCGTCAAGACGTCAAATAGTGGATCTAGCCATCGTGTGAAGGACACAAGTAGGAAGCGCAAGCGACCAAAGTCTAGCACCTTGTCACAAGAAGGTGTGGAGAGAGCAGAGTCAAGAGCACGAACCGCAAGTGCTGATGAGGATCTGGCACTCCGAGTGACCTATGGAAACGGTCAAAGCGAAGATATTCGCATTCATCCTCCTGCCGAGAACCGCATGACCCAAGAAGAGTTGAATGATCTGCGAGCATCGGATCATTACCGTATTGCAAGCACGACTGTCAAAATAGCAAAGCAAATCTTTGAGCTTGGAGAGCTCGGTGAGTCCGGACTCCGACTTGCATGCACATCTATCGTAGGTCTGGCGCATTCAATCTTGTCCGACATGGATGATATAGACAGGACGTGGGGCTATCCGATCGACCCAGATCCGGTCGACGTCGCAGTTCAAAACAAGCTCCGCGACAGCAGAGCGGCCTCTCGTCGCTTCGTGCAAGCAGCTGGGACGTTGGCCCGCGTACTGGGTGGACAGCTCTTGACCGGGTCCAGCTCCGATGCACTGATCGCTCAGTATTTCGCGTCTATACAACCGGCACCGCGAGAACGCGAGCTTCCACAACACGAACAGTTTGGATATGATTTCCTGAAAGCTATACTATTGTGGATCGACAGTGGCCCTGCTGCAGTTGTGGAGGGGTTTTCGCGTCGAAGTGGCAGCGCTCGCTTCCCGATTCCATATGACTCTGATCTGGACGCTATACAGGAGCGGTTGATTCCATATCTGCTTGAATTGGCAAGTGATGATAGCATCGTCAATGTGGATGCTTCCAAGTTCGAGACAGACACTACTCGGATATTGTTCGACTCCGAATTCGAGGCTGTAGATACCTTTGGCCATGCACTCAAAGTACCCTTTGCTGATCTTACTGGCGAGAGAGATCCAACATCAGAGTCAGGATCTTCTAGTGAGCCCACGCAGACTCGAGCTGCAGCAAAACGGAGATGGGTGTATCAAGTTGGGAGGGGTGTACTACGCAATGCAGCCAAGGATATCAAGTTTGCTTTTGTGGATCGCGCCTTTGGTGGTCAGGGTATATCAGATAAGACGATCAGGGCGGAAGAGAAAGCATTGAGGGCACGACAGGAGGAAATTGATACCACAGTAGATGAGGGGCCGGTTCGGGATGCGGAACTTGTCAGCACAGCAGCACGAGAGAACAGCGACCGAGAAGAGGCTTCTCTAAGCACTTCTCATGCGAACGAGTCGGAATCAGTGGTCCTTGAGAGTGCTGACGAAGATGAAGAAGAAGAGGATGATGATGATGATGATGATGATGACGACACCGACGGTGATGCAGACTCAGACGACGAAGAACAGGATGATGATGACGACTCTGACTCGGTCGACGAAGAAGGACTTCAACGTACACGATCTGGACACATGCTCTGGCGATCAGACTTCAGCCGCAGTCGTTACAGGCGATGGAGAGTCGAGCGCGACGTCCCTTGTGTACCCCATACACGTGTCTACACTGGCCATTGCAACGTCAAGACAGTCAAGGACGTGAACTATTTCGGCCTGCAGGACGAATATGTCGTCAGCGGGAGTGACTCTGGGCACGTTTTCATTTGGGATCGTAAAACAGCAGAGCTTGTCAACATCTTGGAGGGAGATGGTGAGGTGGTGAATGTTGTTCAGGGTAAGTTTCGTATACTCAAGTATAGAGAGATAGAGGAAAGAGTCTAACATAGTTTGAACAGGTCACCCCTACGAACCCACAATGGCAGTTTCCGGTATCGACCACACGATCAAGATCTTCTCTCCAGACGCCCACCTGCAGCGTAACGCACGCAAAGGCGTCGGCGTGCAATCATCTGACCCAGGTTCCTTTTCCAGTCTCAATTTTGGCCGTAGACGGCGTAACCGCGCCGCCGAGACTTCTACTGAGGCTACTGAGAGTGAGCCTGCAGTCGACGCTCCCAGTGACAGCGATGACGAAGTTGCGCCTGGTGGACTGAGCAGTCGGAAGAGGATGCACCAGAGTTATCAGATTACGAGCCAGAATGATATGGATAGGAAGGGTGGGAGGGATGATTATTTCATCAGTCAGGCTGTTTTCGCGCAGTTGGCGAGGCATATTGCGAGGGGGCAGGGCGGAGGTGAGGAGGGAGGAGAAGGTGGACCGGTTATCATTACTGAGGAGAATTGTAACATCATGTAGTGTATAGTTGGGAATAACATCTGACGAAGTTATTATGCCTTTGTCTGTCTAGCCATCAGAAGAAGTTTGTTGGCGCGCAATGAACATTCATGTGTCCGCTCCAAGCTTTACTCCTATTCATAAAGGTCATCTGTCGCATGCCAGAGCCGCTTCACCTCCTAGGGCCAACATCGAAAAGAACTGCAACGTCATATGGGCAAGAATCAAATTCTGAACGACGATTCCATATTCATTTCACAGCCACCAAGCCAATTACACAGGCGCAATCTAATGTTGTTGCGCCCTCCTAAACTTTTACTCCTATCTTGGAAGACTAAGCTCGGCATCCGCGATGCAAGCGTCTGTGTCCCCCTTCTATGAGGCCTTCTTCTGCTTGGCCTTGAGCGCCTTCTTTCGGTTGCTCCTTATCATGACTACCGAGAGGAAGCTACCGACGACGGTGGTACCAAGGATGATGAGGATGACGGGGATGCGGATGGCCCAGACGCGTGGCAGGAAGAGGGAGTGAAGGATGTGGTCGTCATCCACGAAGGGCTGCATGGAGTTAGGACATGCTGCAGAACTAAGCAGAAGTGTAAAAGCATACCATGAACAGAGTCCACACGGTGTAGTAGACGAAGATGGCAGTCGCTGCGACGAGCATGCTGAGACCTACAAGGCGATCGGCCTTCCTATTGTTAGTGGCCATAGTCTTTCACCTGAGGAGTTGCAACATACCATTGTGAAGTTTGGCGAAGGAGTGAACGAGTGTATTAGCTTGGAGTATTTGGTAGTTGCAATCACCTCGCTGTCCCTTCCCCCCCAAAGTCGCGCCAAGCTAAGGACCCCTGTCGGTGAAATCGCGGCCCGTTCGCCGCAACCTTGGATCGCCCAACCGCCTGCGAGCTAAACTTTTGCGAAGCGCGTCACTCACGCCTCACCACCGACATCCTTCACCCTCGACACGACCCGCTGACCGAGAATGGAAGTCGCATCTGCCGTTCGACTGCCTTCGCCGGAGCCGGAGCTCGACGACGACGCCAAGGAAGTTCCGCGCAAACGCGAGCGCTCACCATACGACGGACCGAGTGCTGGGCCATCGAAGAGAAGTAGGAGAGACGACGAAGAGGATGACCGTCGCAATGGGGGCTCAGGCCGTCGCCCGGCGCCAAAGCCCACGACCGACGACCTCCCCGAGGATGACTCGCGATTGAACCTCTTCAAGAATGCCTTCAGCGCGAACCGCAAGCTGCCGGTTGACGATTCAAAGACACGTGCTGGAGGCGCGTACATCCCTCCTGCGCGACTGCGCGAGATGCAAAAGTCGATTACCGACAAGAAGAGTCCCGAGTTCCAGCGCATGGCTTGGGAGGCGCTCAAGAAGTCGATCCAGGGTTTGATCAACAAGACGAATACGGCAAACATCAAGATGATAGTGCCGGAGCTGTTCTCGGAGAACCTGGTGCGCGGGCGCGGTCTGTTCTGCAGAGCTATTATGAAGGCGCAAGCAGCCAGTCTGCCCTTCACGCCCATCTACGCAGCGATGGTCGCCATTGTCAACACAAAGTTGCCTCAAGTTGGCGATCTGCTGGTTCGACGTTTGATTGTGCAGTTCAGGAAGGGCTTCAGGAGAAACGACAAGGCTGTCGCGCTATCGAGCACCATGTTCCTTTCGCACCTCGTCAACACGCAAGTCGTCCATGAGATCTTGATCGCCGAGATCCTGCTTCTCCTGCTCAACAAGCCCTCCGATGACTCTGTTGAGATCGCAGTCGGTATCATGAAAGAGGTCGGCGCTTTCCTCGACGAGATGAAGCCTGCGATCGCCAATGCCATCTTCGACCAGATGCGCAACATCCTCCACGAAGCCGACATCGACAAGCGAACACAGTATATGATTGAGGTTCTCTTCGAGGTTCGGCGCACAAAGTACAAGGACAACCCTGTCATAAGGGAAGACCTGGATCTGGTGGAGGAAGAGGATCAGATTACCCACAACCACACGCTTGAGGGCGATTTGAAGGTCGAGGACGGTCTGAACATCTTCAAGGTTGATCCAGATTACGAAGCGCATGAGGAAGAGTACGCGAAGATCAAGGCTGAGATTTTGGGCGAAGAGGAGGGTAGCGATGAAGACGAATACACGGATGCATCGTCTGAGGATGAGGAAGACGAAGAAGTGAAGGCCATGGATGTCAAGGACCAGACCAACGCGGACCTTGTCAACCTGCGCCGAACTATTTACTTGACCATCAAGAGTAGTGGTGGTTTCGAGGAGTGTGTGCACAAGCTTATGCGCATCAATCTACCGCATGGGTTGGAAAACGAGCTCACAACGATGATCGTCGAGTGCGCAAGTCAGGAGCGCACATACGAGAAGTTTTACGGCATGATCGGAGAGCGCTTCTGCAAGTTGAACAGGATGTGGACCGACCTTTTCGAGGAAGGCTTCGCCCACTACTACGAGACTATCCACCGTTTCGAAACGAATCGCCTTCGCATCATCGCACAGTTCTTCGCCCATCTACTAGCGTCTGATGGTATCGGTTGGCACGTCTTCCAGGTGGTCAAGATGACGGAGGAGGACACCACATCCAGTTCACGTATCTTCGTCAAGATTCTATTTGAAGAGCTCCTGGCCTCACTTGGTCAAAAGGTGGTTGTAGAGCGCTTCAAGGACCCTATGCTGCAGGACAGTCTTACTGGTATCTTCCCCACCGATGCAGACGATCAGAGCAAGACACGTTTCTCAATCAACTTCTTCACAGCCATCGGTATGGGTGTGCTTACTGAAGGCATGCGCGACTGGCTCAAGAACAGTGCGCCCAAGCCTAAGCCACTTCCCGAGCCAGAAAGCGACTCAGACGATCGCAGTGTTTCATCAAGATCAAGCTACACTTCAAGCAGCTACTCGCGATCCCGCAGCCCGGTTCGCAGAAGGCGTGACGACTCAAGATCTAGATCCAGATCTAGCTCAAGAGGCCGTTCATACACACGCAGCCCTTCGCCAGATCGCAAACGTGGAGGTCGTGGCAGAAGCGGCTCTTACAGCTCCGCATCCCGCTCTCGATCACGATCCCGCTCCCCAGCACCCCGCAAACTCAAGAGCAAGCGCTCTTACTCATCCTCCCTCTCTCGATCACGCTCCCCGGCACCCAGGAAACGCGGTCGCAGCCCCTCATCCTCGGTATCCCGATCTCGTTCCCCACCGCCAAAGGGCAAATCAACACGTCGTGGACGTAGCCCATCTGGCTCCATATCCCGCTCTCCACCTCCGCGCCGTAGTCGAAAGTACTCGACATCCCCATCTCGCTCGCCATCTCCACCACCGCGTCGTCGACGCGATTCTAGTAGTCCGCCTCCCAGGCGTAGACGCGCGTCGAGCAGTCCACCACCATCCAAAGGAAAGGAGAGAGCGAGGGACGTTAGTGATAGTCCGCCGCCGCGTCGCAGGAGGGATTCTAGTAGCCCACCGCCCGAAAGAGGCGTTAATGGAAAGGGGAAAGCGGTAAAGAGGGAATACAGTGAGAGTCCGCCACCGAGGATCAAGAGAGATGATAGCAGTCCACCTCCCAGGAGAAGGAGGGGCTCGTAGTTTAAGTTATGTGGCTGAGGGCTAGATGGTCTCGCAACTTGACAAGAGTGGAGAGAAAATCGTGAGTTGTATGGCAACGGGCGTTATATCGTTTTATGGAGAGGAAGAGTGTATGGAATGGCAGCGTTTGCATTGTACATCTACTGGGAGCATAGCTGCGAGATTGAGCGAAAGCAAGTTGCGGCAAAACCGTGGTATTAGTTTAGGTATATCGGCCGATCTAGCTACGAGAACAGACATATATCATCGCATCGGCAGCCTCGTACTGAACAATCCTTTCATCTGTGCGGAAATTCGTTGATCTTGTTTTCTTTCCGTGTTTTGGTATCGTCGTGGCGCTGCAGAATCCGTAGAGGAAGCTTGCAGTATGCTACGTGCAATATCCTGGCAATGGTTGGGATGTTTGTTGACACGCTTGCGCGACGGCAAGTTTGTACGAATCCACTGCCACGCTGTACTGCTTGGCTGAGTAGGCTGTCGAGAGCACGCCAAAGAGGATTGTCAAGAAGAACACCCCGAAAATGGCCACCCATATGGTTGCGAATTGGGCAGTATTTCTTCTGTCCAATAGGGTTTGACGTACAGTCTCTGGAGGTCCATAGAACAAACTCAGTAGTTGTGACAGACGACTCCTCCAGAACTCAAAGTCATCGAGTTCAATTGCTTGAGGTATGTCAATTGAGTTCTCTATCCACATCTGGACCTTTTCGTCGTTCAAGAAGGTCTCTGTCGGTTCGTCACCCTCAGGGAATAGGAGTTCAAGAGTACAAATGGTCTCGTCTAGAAGATCCCTTGGAATGAGCATTGGTTCGGGTTCTTTTCGGTGGTTTATTAGGCAGATTTTGTGTTTGTAGATTGACAGTTGACGCTCCCCCCGGGACCCGTGTAGTCTCAAATGATCCGCTAAATTATCGGTCCATAGTATCTCTAATCGACATATGTCCTTCAGGCCCACAGCTGTAAATGAATCGTCGAACAGGAACATCGGTGCAGTACGCGCTTTCCTTTTGTTGTTAATGAATGGTGCAGCAACCATTTCTTTCAGTGAGTGGTCATCTTGCCATCGGATGTAAGACACTCTCGACTTTTCCGGTCCAACAAATAATCCCTTGGAGCGCACGTTGACACCTATCCAAAGACGAACTGTAAGTTCGATAGAGCAAGCAATAGCTTTGTCGCCGATGTTTTGATAGTGCTTTCTGAGATCGGACACCAGCACCTCCTTCTTTGTATCTCTACCGAAGCTCAACTGGGTAATCATAGCAAGTATGCCGTCCCACTCTTCTATCGCGAACTCGTGGCTGAAAGGGCGCAGGCTTCTCAGAGTTTCTCCCCAGTAGCTAAACAAAGCTGTGTATTCGTCTTCGAAGTAGTCACTCTCCGAAATATTCAAATGAGGCCAGAAAGCATTAATTAGGGCACACTTTTGCGTTATCCCAAGGTCTTGTGTATCCGAGAATAGTCTCTTGTTGACGAGCGACATAGTCCCAATCCACCGTCATTCGGAAACACAAATGGAAAGCCGTTTCGTGCGGAGTGATACTGTTATTTTCTCGATTCCATGTAGAGGATTAGTTGAGTTAGAGATTTTGGATTTCTAGGTTCACACGTTTTCTGATCCTGTACTGTGGACGTCATCCTACATATGCCACCTTCACGAGTTGCTAGCGCTAACCAGTTTAAGCCACCAACGATCTCAGCTGAAATTCCTAGTTTGTTGCGCCGAACCCCGCATTCCCTCCTTCATTAGCACCACGAACGGCAAGCGTAGTCAATGGTACCAACTTTGATCCAGAAGCTATATCGGGTCCTGTCGTATGCCTACTTAGCTATGATACATGGCTGATATATCTAGGTACTGGAAGCTAGAGCCAGTAACTATTGTCAACAGTTACGTGATACGGCTAACATCTCCAGCTGCGATCTATAGGCGCCACAGATTATCGCCTTGACCCTTGGTGCGAGCCACTGGATGTGTATGAATTCAATCTAGGTACCACTGATCCTCTACATATGCTCGCGCTGTCTCATTGTAGCTGCCGTCCGGACACACAACAAAAACCAAAGATGCCTGAACCCACGCCGCTACCTGCTCCACTACTTCTGGAGTTGCTTGTTCCACAAACCGAGACCTTCCTGGTAGAGGGACTCTACATAGGCCTATTGTCGCGACACCGGCCCCCAACCGAGGTGCGAGAATGGTTCGACGACAAACATGTTCGTGAAATGCTTCATACACACGTCAAACGAAAGAACAAGAGTCCAGACTACCTGAAGGCCATCATTTTGTGTATGGCCGGTCTGCTCGAGGGAACTCAGGTCCGGTTGACACCAACTATCTGGATTTCGACCGGTGACACGAGGTCGAAAAGTAGCATCAAGAACTCAATCAGCAATGCAACCTACCTCAACAAGTTCCTGGCGAAGTTTCGGATGAGAGAACCTCATATTACCGTAAGCGGCCCAGAAATTCTGTCGGGAGTGAGAATCTCTTCTGGAGTTGGCGTACACACGTTTGCAATCCGAGGTGCGGATAACAGCTTGGATTCAGTATGTGGTACCAGTGCCAGATTCACAATGCAAGCAGCATCGGATGGCAGTACCTTCCAGTGTTACTCCACTATTGGTGGCTTGATCTTTGTGGATGATGATCTTTTCGCCATCACAACTGCTCACGCTATCACAAAGCATGGAATCCCGGACCCTCGGCACGTGGTCATGGACGAAACAGATGACTCCCTTATACTGAGAGGTTCGAATCTGCGCGAATGGGTGCCCTCACCATTCCCAAACACTTTCGCATATTTAGGCGACGCGTATGTCCGTGGCACCAAAGTTGACAAGCCTGTTGTTGATGCTGCAGACTTTGCTCTCGTCGAACCGCAATCGTTCCCAAAGCTAGGTAACAGATACCAGGTTGAGGGTTGGTCGGATTTCGAAACAGTCTCAGGTCATACACCAACCGCTGAACTCTCTTCCGGAGATGTAACGATTTGTACAAATGACTACAGAGTCCCGATGAAGGGCTATATGGTAGAAGGCGATGTTCCTATCATTGTGGGAGGTATTATGATGCTTACAAGGATGATAGAAGTGACTATGCCGGCGGGTATGTTGATAAAGGCCTCATGATGCGTTAGGATATCACTAATACAGCACATAGCCCCTGGCTTATCGGGCTCTTGGGTAGTTCGAGGAGGGGAGCTGTGTGGCGTTGTATATGCAGGCAATGCCTCAATTCCATACCTTTACATTATTCCAGCCGAAACCATGCTGGAGAACGTAAAAAAGTTGCTTGGATCTGGTACCGTAAGAGTCGCGACTACCCAGAAAATATCTGAGTGGAAGCTTCGACATACACCCGACATTCATACCTGGAAGTCTTCGGCTGATGAGTCGCCCTCGCCACATGTTGAGACCAAAGCGCCTCAACCGCTAGAAGATGTATGCTCTTCACCCTATTCAGTCTTACGATGATTAAACAACTGAGAACTAACAACACTCCAGACATCTTTCTATGAGATGTATCAAGTGGGAACCATGGTTCGAATCAAATCTTTTTTTGCTGACCTTACTGTTGAATCGCAAGAGATGTATACTGTTTGGGATGCTTCTAGAGATCGACAAGGCAACGCACAATATACGCTTCAAAAGTCCGACGGAAGTCTGGTGGATGGAGGAAGAGAATACAGTAAAAACGAACTGACATTTGTTGTCAGTAAGAGGGACTTTCAGGATGGTGGAGGAAGAGAGTCCAGTGTATTGGCTTTCAGTTACTTCTATGGGGCTGCCGAAAATCTGGAGGAAAAACCTCGGCATCAGTGAGTATCGCTGTAGCTATCGTGTTCTATGATGACATCGCATTCCAAAGCGTCTTCCATGCTGCAGTGGCACTACTTTCTACCGACTCAACTCCTTCCCTATGATACACATGACTTGGCTGTTGTTAGTAGGCTGATTCTGGTATCGATATGACAAATTAGGTCGCTTTCTGTCAACACCGAACCTCGAACGAACCTGCCTTTTGTGTCTACAAGCTTACAGTTCTAACAAGAACCTTGGTAGGTAGTCCATCCGCATCGCCCAAAAAAGATTGCACCGTTCTCATACCCAAAGCACTTGAGCGCGCCATCAACGTCTCACTTCCATACCCCCGCAAACTACGCTCCTCAGCAACAATTGACAACGACCCTGACACCCAGCGAATTCTTGCCCGCCTCGTCAACTACGGTACTCCTCAAGAGGTTGCTGAAGAAGGCTTTCGCGTCTGTCGTGTCAATGCTAACCTGCGCGCTAAGGTATGTTGTGACTACACAAAATGCATGTGATGCATGCAGTGACTTCTCACCTTCGACTCTATAGCTGGACAAGGTCAAGAAGGTTGCTGCAACTACGGCTGCTGTAATCGCCGTGGATACAATTACAGCTGCTGCAATTACGGCTACTGCAACTGCGACTGCTGCGATTGCACACAGTAGTGCTGTCTCCGCCTCCATGGCCGCTTCCACCTCATTTACTGCTGGCACCATCCCTATCCTCAAGAGGAACACCGCGGTCCCCACCTCCACCATCCCCAACATCCCTCCTCAAGGTCAGCCGCGGGCTATCAGGGCGCTGAAGAGCAAGATCGCCGTGATGGAAGATGCTCTCGCAGAGATGCGGAATGAAGCGCCCAAGATGCGCAAGTGTATGGCATGGATGTGGGACATCATTGGCAAGGAATGCATGAATCACATTCCAAAGCAGTTGAAGGATATGTACCATGAAACGATGGTCGTGGACTTGGTGGATTGGCAGCCAAACGGTAGGGTGAAAGGTGGGAAGGGTAAGGATGACTTGAAGAATACAAAGGGTAAAGAGGAGGTCAAGGTCAAGAAGGAGAGGGCGTCTGCTGCCGACAATGTCCTTGCAGGTGTCAAGCGAAGGGGCGTATCGCCTCTTGGTAAAGATGCTAAGAAGATCAAGTTTGAGCAGAGGGAAGTCTAAGGTGCTGTGGTCGTTAAGTGAAGGTGTAGGTGGAGTGTTTGGCTTTGCATCGAGACCATGTCAACATCAAGTGGTAAACATGGGACCCGCTAAAAGTGTCGTTATAGTACCAAGTATTTGCCAGGCTATACCAATAAACAAAACACGCTAAACATCACAGAAGAAGACACCATTATGAACTTAAAAATTCTTTATTCTATAGAAGAGACAAATGCAATCGCTAATTATCAATAGCCTTCCACGCACACACCACTGCACAGATGCGAAAATACACACGTGAATGATGATAGAAGAAATATTATCGCATCAGGTACATTTCCCTTCAGTCCCTTATTTCCTAGTTCATCGTCTATGAAACCTGGACGAACTGACCCATGGCCGGAACACCATCGACAACGACGTAGATGACGTAAGGACCGGCAGGCGCAATAGCCTTGTTAGGAGGCATGGTGACAGTCAAGCTCTGGGCGGTGGCACCAGCCTTGAAGCCGGTGTTGTCAAGGAAGATCATGCGGTGACCCATGTGGACGGAGTGGGTAACGAATCCACCGTAGTAGAGAGAGATCTTGACGTTCTTAGCGTTGGCAGGAGCAGTGAACTTGATGTTGAAGGTCGAGGCGACCTTGAGGTTCTTGGACGAGATCTGGACAGCGGAGGGACGAGTGGGGTTGCCCTGGAGGTAAGGGGGTGTGTAGATCTCGTTGCGGAACTCAGTGACGAAGGGGTTCTTGGCGTCAGGGGTGAGGATGGGCTGCTCGACGGGGTTGGATCCAGAGATCAGGAGGGTACCATCGAGAAGGAGGAGAGCGACACTGTGGTAGAGACGAGCAATGGTGGAGGCAGGGCCGGTGGTGAAGCGCTTGCCCTTGGGCTGGTTGGGGTCGTAGAGAAGGACCTCGAGGGCGGGGTCCTGGGCAACACCGAAACCTTGGGCACCTTCTTGAGCACCGTTGACCCAGACGACGGTACCGTCGGGGAGGAGAGTTCCCTCAACCATACCACGGCCCTCGGGCATAGAGTCCATCTCCCACTCTGGGTCGGCATCGAGAGGCCTGATGCGACCGCAAGATGGGTCAGCAGGGGCGGTGATGTCCTGGTAAGGGCCACCACCGCAGATGATGATGTCGGGGTTGTAGTCGTTGGCAGAGGAGAGAGGAAGCATGACGGATCCACCAGTGTTGGGGTAGGTACGGTAAGTACCGGGAAGGTCAGGAAGCATGCGGACGACAGTTCCAGTCTCGACCTTGAAGATCTCAGCAGACTTGGAAACCTGAACGAAGAGGTTGCCATCCTTCATCAAGTGCATGAAGGGGTACATGTAGTAGGGCTGGTTCTTGCTGAGGATCTCCATGTTGAAGCTGGTTCCCTGAGGAGTACCGTCGGCGTTGAGCATCTCGTAGGTGGGGTTGTTGTTCTCGGGCTTTGAGGGGTCAAGACCGTTCTTGGATCCAGATGCGACAAAGATTTGGTCGTTGGGCATGATCTGGACGGAAGCGTACCAGCGGGGAGTGTCAAGCTGGGTACCGGGCTCGTTCCAGGCTTGTCCGTCGAGGGAGGCATCGGAAGAGGAGCGCTTGAGGAGACGGATACCGCGGAAACCATCGCCAACAGTGGGGTCAATGAAGTCAAGAGGAGCGTTACCACCGAGAGAAGCGAAACGGCCATCAGCAAGGAAGATACCACCAGAGCAGAAAGCGTTGGTCTTGTAAGCCAAGGGGGTGAGCTTGCCGGTGCTGGGGTCCCACTCAGAAGAGTAAGCGTACTGGCCATTGGCGAGCTTGAGTTCAGTGTAGTTCTCGACCTTGTCGAGGAAGACGACCTTGCCGTTGGGCATCAGACCAGCGTGCATAGCAGGCACACCGGAGCGACCCTTAAGCGCGATGCTACCTGGCTTGGCGGCGCGAGGAGCAGGGCTGGCAGCAGGAGCAGGAACGCTGGGGGCGTTGACACAAGGACCGTTCTGGCAACCCTCACCGCAGTGAGCGGTGGTGTTACCACAGTAGCCGTACATGGAGCAGCAGCTACCCTGGGCCCAGTTACCGCAGACAGTGTTTCCGAACTTGGCACCACAGCTGCCGTCAGTAGTGGCGACACCGGTGGGCTTCGCGGCAGCAGCAGTCGTGGGCTTACCAAGAACTGGCTCGCCAGAAGTAGTCGACGAAGGAGGACGGCTGGAGACAGGGGCAGGGTTGCCGTTAGCGGGTTGGCCCTTGGAAGGAGTTGTGTCCTTGCATCCGTTCTGGCATCCGTTGGCGGCAAGGCAGTGACCGTCAGTGGTACCGCAGTAGCCGTAAGATGAGCAGCATCCACCGAAAGCACCGTTGGCATCGCATGTAGAGCCGCCAAAGTCCTTTCCGCAGCGACCGTCAGCCCTGGGCTTAGCAGCACCGGAAGTGGCAGCCTTTGTGGGCTGGGGGATGGTGGTAACACCGCCCGCGCCGTTGCAGCCAGAAGAGCAGCCGGTTCCGCAGTGAGCAGGTGTGCTTCCACACCATCCGTACTCGGAGCAGCATGTGCCGGAGTAGACTGTGCTCTTGGGGTCGCAAAGCAGGTTGCCGTTAGCAGGACCGCACTTTCCGTCCGTAGAGTACTTGGCAGCCTGCCTCTTGGCGGGGACGACACGTAGCTGGGATCGAGAGACGAGCTTGGAGTACTCGCTCTTGAGGTCCGGTACGCAGATTTCGTAGTCGCCGCAGTGCTGGCCAGTCAAGCACTTGTTGTAGGTGTCGGTGCTGGAGCAGTTGGGGTTAACCCATTCGAAGTTGATGTTTGCGCTGGCCAAACCGGCGAGGGCGCCGAGGCCGATAAGTGATGCCTTCATTGTGAGGGTTCACCTGTTAAAGTGATTAGAAACGAGTGTGGTGATAAAAGAGAGTGTAAGCCAGCGATTGGGGCCGGTGATCATTCGAGATGCTGTTCTAGAATGATGATTACAAGGGTATATGTAGGTGAAGGTGATGAATGGCATTGATGATAGGGGGCGACGCAAGGACAGTTATGTAGTTGTTTTTGAGGGCGGGCAGATGGTCGTCGTGTCGCGAGGTTGGTGTTGCAAAAAAGAGGCTAACACCAGCATGCACAGCGACGTATTTTTGGCAGGCGGCAGGGAGCCCCGCGTGGTAGCGAGAACGCTCAGATGGAAAGTACGTACCTAGCGAAAACAAATTAAGTATTACTAGAGGGTTGGTTGTATGATGTCAAGGCAGCTGGAAACGAGTGACAGCTGTCGAGAGATGGGTAAAGAGTGAAGTGCTGAAGGCAAGGTGCTTGAAGTGCGCCTACAGCGATAGAGGTGAGGAGAGCAGAAGCGGGCGCGCCCAGATTCAAGTACCTGTGTAGAAAGCGCGTATACGAGGGCCGTTCAGCTGTGCTAGTCATCGCCTCGGCCATTTGCGACTGGAAAAGGAAAATTCAGGCACACATTGGACGCTTCGACCAGTAACGGTATTGCTCCAGGGCAGCCCTAAGGGGCACGAGCGGCAATCTCCACCCTGTCAGCCAATGCCAGCCCTGTGCGGCAAGATCGGCGCGGGGATTGGCCTACTCGAACTTCTATTTCTGGGCGCAAGGACTGGCTCCCAATGCACCGCCAGAGGGGAAGACGGCAATCGGCATGCGCTGGGCCTGATGCGACCTTGTGGGCGGGGGAGTAGGCACGCTGCACGCCTACATGTGCCCTCGTAAAGGTGGGCCGCAACAGTGAGGCTATTGGTGAGGCACACGATGCTCAGGGACCACGTCGACGCCAGCGAAGGATCGTCCTGGCAACGTTGAAGCGCTGTCACCAAGCCGACGGAAGTACTCAAGCCTTTGCTAACGCCAGATAAGCTTCGCGAGTCGGCCGCATGGCGTCGAAGAGATTGCATCCACGGCACGCCTGGGGACGTTCTTTGCCCGAAATGGCAACACGTGCTGCGTGGCTCCCCACAGATTCATCACTTCGGGCTAGCGTGACAGGGCTTTATTCTGCGTCAGGGGAAAGGCACGACCAACATGTCCTGCAGTACCAAGACAAGTCCAAGACTTTTGCTGAAGGTTACGTCAAAGAAACCTTCCGCCGAGCAAACACTCAAACGTTGGAAACAAACCTCCAAAATCTCACCCTGCTGACGCCCCTCAAAGTTGCCGGTATCCACGCCTTCCGACGGGCCTTCTGGAAACCCTGGACGCTCCCGTATTCCCACACACACCGGCCATCCTTCTAGCTCAACAAGTGGACCATCGCTATCACGACCCTGCCGCGCGACCCAGAGACGGCACAACGTGACAAGCTTTGGTAACATCCAGACGGTCGGTTGCACGCAACTATGATGCAAGTAGATCAAGTCCACCTCTCCCCGTCCGCGTATCGGGATATGAGCAGTTCGTAAGGAAATTGCCTGGTAGCAGATCACGAGAGACGCTCACGCCACCTGCCAATTTCAATCTCACTCACCGTGCTTCAGGTATCGCGCCTTTTGCCTACTGCCAATGCCGGAGCAACACCGATGGTTGGATATTTGACCGCCCCTACCAGCCCTCCTCACCAAGCTCACCAAGGCGTGCAGCCACCCCGCCCCGGCCTCCCTCCAACACCGCCACCACCTTTGCAACCATCGCCAACACCCCTCATTTCAATTTGGAAATCCCCCAGACGTGTGCCGACAGCCGAGCTTTGCTGTCATGTTTGCCATATACCGATTGTTTTTGTCTTGTTTTCCCTTGGTATGTATCACATTCAAGACGCTGCAGATCCAACTCGCCAAACCAGGCAGCTTAACCGATTTCGTACAACGGCCCAAACATGTTCATTTCATCTTGTTTTCATGCGTCGGGGTTCCGCGTCTCCGCGACTTTTATTCCCGCATGCCATGTGGTTTTCGGTAGTTCGAGTGCCTTTCTGTCCGTCGAAGCATCGGTTGCGATAGCCCCAGTCCGTCGACGCTGGAACCCAAACTATTGAATGGCTTGCGACTAGCTCTGAGCTTGCATGAGCTTGCTGCCAACAACCATCACTTGGACTTCAGCTTTACGAGATCGTGATATCCGCCTCGTATCGATTGTGGTTGTGACGTAATTTTTTCTGCCGACTTTGCAAAAGCAGTATGGATGGTGCAGTGGTTGGCAAACGACTCGGATCGGCGGCGCGGTCAAATCAGAACGAGTGCTTCGCACAGAAGGTCGGTATGCTTCTACTACCGATACCAATATTGTAACTCGGATAAAGCGGCATCGAAGACAACTGTGAGGGCCTTCCGTATCATTCGTCACTATCTGCTTCCACCTGAGCAGTACAAAGTTCACTCCATCGGCTTATGCGAAGCTGGCATGATTCCATCAAAACCCTTCCCTAGCTTGCAGCTCTTGCACATACCTGGCGCACAGTGCATCAGCACCACAAAAAATCATCTCAAAGTATGGCCACCTGTAAGGTCTTCAGGAAACGGAAATAAAATTGAACCTGAGCTCAACATGGTGCACTCGCCGACTACAACATGTCAACCCTGACAATTCACAGCCAAATCACCTCCGTGGTCGCATTCCGTGGTCGCATATGAAGAGTGATAAGCTATCTAATGATATGCATCTAACCTTCCATTTGCGCATGTAGGCTGACTTCGAAACCAAATCCTGCAAGGTACCAAGTCATGTCGCACTGTCTCCACCATCACATCGGTTGTATATTCGACACGGCTGACATTCTGCCCCTGATGACTGGCAGCTGACAGGTGCATTGCCATACTCAAAACGATCATAGATGCATCCGCCACCTGTAACGCACGAACTTGACGTGGACTACGCCCAACGCGCGTCCACACCGCCACGTAAGACGCGAAAGAGCAAATCAGCCATTTCGGAGTTGTGCAGTCGCATTGCCTCTAGTTTGTCCTAGTCTTTACCTTGTGTACGATATATCATCGGTCCTGACGACAATATTCGACGAACTATTCAAATACCGATCAGACTCCTGCTTTTACAACCATCACTACCATGGCATTTCCCAAAAACCCCATGAGCCATCCCCAAACACCCTCAATGTGAAAAGGCTGGAGGATACTAGACCGCCCAACCGAAGCCTGTGTGACACTCGCCTACAACCCCTCAGCCTTGCGAGACGTTACATACTCAGCATCGCGTCTAATCGAGGATTAATTGCAGGCATGATTGCGAAGAAGCCGCCGCACAATTGAAGCCACCGCGTCCGCATCTCACAGACCACAAAATGGATCAGATGCCCACGACTTCGGCTCCTACTGGGGAGGGTCTGATGGTGCGACGTGTAGACTGGTGGAAGTGTGACTGGTACACGGGTTCTGTGTCTGCACGAAAGGACAGTTGGTTGTATGCTAGGTAAGTGTTTTTACAGAAGACTACATTTATGACGTTGGTTTGCGCTACTCAGGTGTTGAGCTATTGATATCTCACTGCTTCTGTTTAACCACAAACCTACTTGTTCATACTCCATTCTAGCCCACTGTGCGCTCATCACCTTACCACGTGATATCCAGCGTAGAACCCCTACCTCGTGTCCCCAGTCACATCCCGCATCAGCGCATTCCACAACATCCTCGCCTACCCCTACCTAGCTAAGCGCCTACACATCCAAGCCAAGCAGATCCAGCCGCGCGCTCCCGCCTGATCACCCGGTAACAGGTAGAATATGCGGGTAGCCCGGCGGTGACCCAGCGCTTGGTCATCACAACGTTTTTCAACGCATAAGGATGTCAGTGCGCGGGAATGTGCAGCGAGGGCGTTTGGCGGTGGGAGAGGAGTGTGTTGGCGCTCAAGAATACCGTGAATGAAAAGAGAGGTTGGCGGTGACAGGCTGATTGGGTCCAAGGAATAAGAATCGGGTGATGTGCGACCGTTGATAGGTCTTTACGATCTTGTTATTGCGCGGTTGTGGAGAGAGGGGAATGAGTTGCTGGGGAGTTTGAGAAACTTGTAGTCATTGTAGAAGTATCTTGGGATCAGATTCCAGTCATTAATAATATTATACTTTAGCATTTATATAGGCTTCATGTTGTATGGCCTTAGTTACTGTAGGGTATGTGTGGAAAGAAACCTCTGTAGTAGTGCTGTATATCGAAACCGCAAATCCAACCTTTTGGCCAACACCTGGTATCGTCCCTCATGTATTTCCCAACCCAAACACCATGCTCAAACAAGACAAATGAAAATAGTGCAGTTTGAATAAACTTAACCATCGCTGTCGCTCCGTCCGCAACTGATCACCCTGATGAAACTACTCGGTTTCTTCTTCACGGCCTGCCGCTCAAGATCCCGCCTTACCGTCCTCGCATTCTCCGCAGCCTCAATCCTGGCCCTCTCCAAGCGCTGATCCTCCTTACTGGTACTCTTCCGACCCAGCTTTGGTGTCTTTTCAGGGCTTGTACTTGGTCTCCTCGCTTCACAGTCGCTATCCGTGCTGTCCATGCTGCCTTTTCCTTTCTTGCTAGTGCGACTCTTGACCTTGCGCTGAACCATCCATCCCGAGAGACCTAGTCTGTCTTCGCTATCGCTGTCCCAATCATCCCAGGCACTTCTCGTGTTTTCAAATGCTGTGTCGACCTGACTCAAGCTTGGTCGGGATGTTGTTACGGTAGATGTGTATGGGCAGAGTGTGCTGTATTCAGACAATGCCAGACTATCTGTGCGCGCATGTGGGTATGCTGGTGTTGACAAGAGAGGGTTTGCGAGACTGGAACGTCGCGTAGAGCGTCCAGACTGCGTAGCCCATGGCGGCGATGTAGGGGTTATGGGAGGGGAGTTCATTGCCGAACGCGGTACATGTGTATGCTGCGCAATCTGTAGACGAAGGAAAGGCTCATTGGGATCAGTAAGGGATGTCTTCCTCCTGCGTCCGAGTTCTGAGAGCGACTCAAAATCGGGTGGTGGCTGTAGTGCGGAGAGCCGAAACGACGAGTCTGAGATGTGCGCTGGCAGTGGGCAATATGAAGTTCGTCGTGATGGTGTTGACGTGGGAACGATGACATCATCGTTCAATGAGTTTTTGCGAAGTTTTTGGAGGTCAGTAGAGGCAAAGTTGCGTGCAGCAGGACTGAGAGGCGGAGTGGTTTCGCCGGTTGCAGAGGGTAGGACAATTGTTCTTGTACACCCTTCGCATACTCCGGAGGTGTAGGTGATAGGGAGCGTGCACGTCTTGCAGATAGCCACTGTCGTTGAGGGCGTTGCGGCATGACCACGTTTGAACTTGAAGTCGAAACTTGGCCGTATCGGTGATCCTTCCTCTGGTCGATATCCTTTGCCGCTATTAGGGATCATTAGAGGTGGAGGCTGTGACGGTTTTGTGTTCCTCTCTCTCATCCTCGCTGTCTCCATGGCCTGCCGTTCGTACTTGTCCCAGAGGTTCGCTGTCTTCGCTGGTGTACCTGGTGATGGTCGGGGATGTTTGAAAGGCGACACGCTTCTTGCGGATGGTGCAGCTTCGTTTGGCGCAAGGACAGTAATGGTTGAGGTAGCCATACCGCAACTATACTGTATACTGGAGCTGACTACAAGCGTGAGGGAAGAGAGTAGTGAAGCCTATGAATGCGAGGAAACCCTGACAAAAGCTTGGGTTTCGCATACGATATATACTTGTACAAGTCCAGTGTACCGGGGCTTGAGCGGTGAGACACGATGTTTATCAGCTTAAAGGTCCGTCCTAAACAAGACACCAAGATCTGGCGGTGGCGGGGGATAGAGATACTTTGGTGTAGGCTAGGATTAGACGTTACGTTGCGCCGCATCCCCGGATTAGACAGCGCTGTACACTATTGATCGTCACTCGATGAGCGTGCAGTAGCAGATAGATCTCCACGTCTCTTTGGCTGCTTAGCGGACGTGCGATATGTGCTTGGTCCAATAGGCGCCACGCGGTGCGACGCAAGGCGTCACTGTGCTCCCGATGTGGTAGGGGTCTTAGGCGAAAAGAAAAGAAGCAAGGGAGCACTGTCTTGTCAGCATGCTACTGGCGCCATTGGCGTCTGCCGAGAAACGCTCCCTAACACTGACGATATGCCTGCGCATGCGGGATGATGTGCAGTGCCCGCGTTGATGATACGGGTGATCTCCTTGCCGGACGCCATGGGGAATCGGACCACGGGCATTAGATTCGCCCTTATCATTTAGCAGAGAAGCCGTGGCACCTAAGCACATTTGTGCGGCTGTAGAGGATGTTTTAGGCATCGTATTGGATTTCGTTGTTGTCGTACAGCATCAGTGAGATGTGACTCGATGTACCCATGTACGTTCCGAGGTTCCTTCGCTGCCCAGGGTGGAGGAAAAAACACTGCGTATGCGTTGTTTCGCAAGTTACTGGGGAGAAAGATATGACGAAGCGGCGTTCAAGCCCTCATAACGAGCAGTCGATTAATTCGAGACGAGACGCAACCCTCGAAGGGAAAAACGAGCTATCGTGACGAGTCGAGCGAGGGCTAGAACATCGAGGCCTCGAGAAAAAGACAACTTACGCGTCGATGTGCCTATTGTTTATTCGATCTTTCTATACTGCCCTGTCAGTGTCATGTTCAGCTCGGCGTTCAACGTTACATTTGGGAAGCACAGCTTCGAGTTCCGTCCATATTCATGTCATCGAGCGTCTCAGCACCAGCCACACCACGATCGCCTCATCAGCCTGAATTGAGAACGTGGGCGGAAAAATCCGGATCATTCCACAGTATAACGTCTTGGACTAGTTGGGACGCATGGGAGAAGGATGAAGTTGTGGTTCCAAGGTTTGAAATCCCCGCGGCTTTTACGCTGCTGGTCTTGGCGCAGATTAGCGAAGCGGGACGGGATGGCGCCGCGACCAACAACAAGATGCACGGCTCGTCCTAGAGCGTCACCTCATTGATCGATAACTGTCCGATATGACGCAAGCTGCTTTTCGTCGCGCTGTGAGAAGAACTCAGCTCAGCCCTCGAGCACTTAGGCTATCGCGATAACACCTCGCACGCTTTACTCGTCATCTCTCGCCAGACAGACCCAAGGAGGTTGCGGGCGTTCACGGGCTTGACAAAGCAATGGGTCAACGCATGGCGACGCAATCTCACAGCATCGCGATGACTACGGTTGGTGTATGCGACAGGGAACCGCACGGCTTCCAGTGTGATTGTTGACCTCGACATCGATATCTACATTGCCATCGACTGATCAGTCCAGCCCAACCGAGACACCTGGCAGTCTCAGCACAAATGTACGCTACTGTCACCCAATCCGGCATCTGCCATTGCACTTGTTCGTTCCTTTTGTCTACTCGAGCGCATTCAGCATCCACTCTAGCCGTCGATCACATGAGGCACGGGATTGCAACCGGCCCCGCACGCCCCGACACTGCATGAACGTTCATCATGTCAGCATCGGACAATGACCTCGACCCCAAACTAACCTTCTTCATCCAGCCAACCAAAGAAGCAAACACGGGGACACTGCAGTAATCGTATATCAACACAGTTAGGCTCCTGCAGCGCGTGAGAAGTTAGCAATTGATGAGGACCGTAATCTTGTCTTGCACGCACGGAACTCCACATACATAGCTTTGAGTCCGACCACAATGTCAACAATGTTTATCAGCTGCTCCAGTGCGCTCTCCATGTCGCCGTTGCCCAACAAGCCCAAAAGCGACAGCGACGCAACTGCTTGGTTCTGGTCCTGGGTGTCTGTCTCTTATCCGAACTAAAGGATCGCGTTCGCTGCCGGTTTCCTGGGGTCTTTGGGTATCATGATGGGGTTCAACTTCACCAGTCTGCGCGATCTGGATCGGACGGATGGTACGGTGGTGCTACAGCAAGGTACGGTTTTTACAATTTTCGTCAACTTGATTGCGGGGCTGATTGTGCGCCTCTAGCTGGGTATGATGAGAACGCGCCAGTAGACATTGTTCTCTATCCGCAGCCTTCGCCGGTCGACCCTAACGATCCTCTCCGCTGGCCTCGATGGAAGAAGCATGTCGCATTTGCTTCGGTTTGCGCCTTCACGTTTTTGACAAACTTCGCTATCGGAGGCTTAGCGCCAGCGTTCTACATCCTCTCGATCGAGTTCGACAAGTCAATGGACGAGACTTCGCATCTGCTCCTATATCCCATTCTGGTATTGGGCGCGTTCAACTTCTTCTGGGTGCCGGTCGCCAATTACGTCGGCAAGAGGCCGGTCTTCGTATTCGCCAGTGCCCTGCTATGCGCATGCTACGTATGGGGCGCCATGGCAAATTCGTTCCAGAGTCTTTTGTGGAGCAACATTATCGCGGCATTTGCAGGATCTTCCACAGAAGCGTTGGGCGCAGCAACTGTCAACGACCTGTACTTCTTGCATGAACGAGGCAGCAAGATGGGCATCTATATGAACGCGATCGCAGGAGGCAACACGTTGGGCCCGTTGATCTGCGGTTTCATTGTAACGAACCTCAGCTGGCGCTGGCACAAGTGGATCGCTGTGATTCTGACGGCGCTGAACTTTCTCACCATCCTGTTGTTTGTCCCTGAAACGCGATACACGCGCGAAGAGATTAAAGGCGTCGGTGTGGCAATCTGCCCAAGCAGCGATAAGATCGTCATGGCAGATGAGAAATACCTCCGGCCAAAGTCTAGCAACCGAATTCTGCACCAACATGCAAAGAACACTTGGACGCAAGAATTGAGCCTATGGAGTGGAGTTTCCGACACGAGTCTGCCGAAGATGTTTCTAAGGTATTTATATGTTGAGTTTGTTGAAAATGTGAGACTGACATCAAGTAGGCCATTTCCTATGATCGTATATCCGGCAGTCATATACGCATTTCTCTGCTACTCCATCTCTTTAGTTCTCACTGTCGCGGTCAATATTCTCAATCCATTTGTGCTGCAAGCTCCGCCATACAATTGGAGCCCGCAAATCAATGGACTGATTAACATCCCGGGTATTGTGGGCAACTTGATTGGTGCTTGGGCAGGAGGTGAGCACCCAAGCTCAAGTACGACGAAACGTGTGCTAACTGAAGCTAGGCAATCTAGTGGACATCTGGTGCAAGCGACGGACACGAAGAATGCTCGGAATCTTCGAGCCAGAAAGCAGGCTCTATCTGGTTGCCATCCCACTCGTGATCACAACAGCAGGCTGTCTCGTGTTCGGTTACGGTGTGCAGAACCAATTATCATGGGTATCGCTCTTCTTCGGGTATGGCATGATTTCACTCGCCTTGACTGCCGTGCCGACGATCACAATGGCGTATGTCAGCGACTGCGCATTGCCGGTAAACTCGGACGTCCTGCTACTGGTGAACGGGCTAAAGAACATTGTGGCTTTTGGCTTTCTCTATGGCGTGGTGCCATGGGTTGAAGAGGCGGGTTATGTGAACGCTTTTGGTACTATGGCCGGTGTCTTTGCTGGCATAGTTGGTATTGGTGCTGTGTTGCTGGTCATCTATGGCGCCACTGTACGCCACACTTCAGCACAATGGAAGGTTATCCTGGAATGAGCAACGCGTGGACACCAAAGTAATGTGTGGTAAAAGCCTAGTCAGCACGTGGAAGAAGCCGTGCAATGCATTAAAGCGTATCGGAACATATGCTGTGGTTGATGCAGTACGAAGCTTACTCTTTATGCATGTGAGATTGCTATGTAGCTCGAGCTTTTGCTTGGGATTGCTCTATGAGTTTGGTGTGCATCTTCTCGATCTCAGGGATGATGAGAGATTCGATTTCCAACGATGGCTCGCCCTGCGGTATCCCTTTCTCTGTTGCGATAGACTCGGTCGCCTGAGCATCCCTCCTTGTCTTCTGATCAGCTAATCCGACGAGCGAAGGCATGCCCGACAAACTCTTCGTTCTGCGGCTAGTAGGTACGCGTATCCATTTCTCACCATCTAGGACTGACACGAACACGACTTCCCATTTTCGGGTGAGCAGCAAATTTCCGATGACGAGATGATGCGAGTATTTGTTCAGCGCGTATTTGGCTTTGGTGACCAGTAGGGAAGGATCAGTCTCCAGCTTGAAGCTTACGATCATGGCGTCGGGCGCCCAGCCATCAACGAGCTGTTTGAGAAATTTGGGAACAGGTTCGAGATCAATGATCAAGCTCTTGCCCTCGGTGCGCGCGGCTGGTGGCTTTACATCGCCCCCACGAGTTCCATCCGCGGTCTGGTGAAACTCTTCATTTGACTGTATCTTGTGCTCAACCATGCGGTCCTGTGGTACGAAAAAGTCGGACACAGCGGCAGCCAAGTAGAACATGGCTTTCGGCCCAAGTGGACGCATGAGCTGCGCAACCTCGCGCAGATTCCACAGGTACTCGGTGATAGTCACGTAGGACAAGATCAATAGCTTGTTCTCTCGCTTCACCTCGGTGTACTGCCGCAGCACGCGCAGCATCTGATCCTGGTGCTCTTGATTCACCACTACTTGTCCGTTCTCCTCCTTCATGTAATCGAGGAACGAGCGCGTGTTGTGCGAGTAATGCCGCGAAAAGGGCAGGAGCGAGAATTGGCGGTGCAGGAAGATGACGGCATAGCCATTTTGGAGAAAGTATTCGGCGCTGGTGGCTCCTCGCGTACCGGCAGAGAAGTTGTCGATGTAGCGGACTGTCTGCTGTTCTAGAGGTACAGTGGTGCCACCCGAAGTGACTAGGACGACGCGACGACCCTCATCGGCATGTCGCGTGATGAATTCGCGCGCAAGAGTCGTGTTCGTTTTGAGGTCTTTTGGCGGCGGCTCGTTGGCGAAATAATCGCTCTCTGCCTGTTGTGCACTCTTATCCGTCATGGTGGCATGATGGAGTCGTCCCCTCGCTGCATGGGAGCTGAGCCATCGTGTGGCGGGGTAGCTCCGAGCAAACCTCCCCTCACTGATGAGTAAGGCATGCACCGGTACGTACCAATTTCTGACAACGTCCACACTTCAACGACCTTCAGCATCGCCTCGTAAGCGCTCCACATCTACCATAAAATTGCACAGCTATGAGGATAAACTATCTTCCAGTACTCTCCTGCGCAGCGCCCTCGTGCGAGGGCCCTCGAATTAAGGTTCTAGGTTCTGGAATAACAACGCCCCATCCGTTTCGAGACCGAGATATAGTGCCTGACGGCTTCGGGTGCTTGATCATTCCGCTAGAAAAATGGGTCCTTTTTACCCTGACCCTCCAGATATCTGGGTATCTCGCCATGAGTATGCAGGACTCCCCAAATGATGATACGGTTTCGGAAGTTTGTTCCTGTTGTATGCTACAGTCATAGCGTCACCAAATTACCCGGGTATGAGAAAGTATCTTTCACTTCGATCGCTACTGCTTCGCAAGCTAAGCAAAGATCGAGTTGTCTAAAAGACATGTTGACGCCGATGATTGTCCATGGCTTGATCACGCGTCACTACAATGAGGATGGTGCATTAGACAAACTCAGACTCGCCCGATTGGGACACGTTGATCCTAACGTCTTGGTTACGTGGGAGATTTCACGAGGAGTTCTATCAAATGCTGAGAGAACTACTTTATGCGCAACACACAGGCGATTCGAACGAGATGTGTGCTATGGTCGGAATCGCGGCATACAACGTTTGGTTTTAGCTCAAAACATCTAGTCCACCAGGCGTGTAACGGCGCTAGGGTCTAGATAATGGTATTCTAGAATCACGTTGAGAATGATCAATGATGGTCTGATTCTTTTCGGGGATTTCGAGAGTAAAGTGTATTCCAAATGCTTCTTTCCATTCTCTCACCGCTCTCCAAGGTTAAAGTGTTTGAGTTTAGTATGTAGACCAAAGCTAACGTTCTTCTTGCAGAATACGCCAGACAATAGAGGGTGGGTCGGGGAAGACAGGAAGAGATGCCGTACAAACCATATAATGGTGATAAGGATGTCGTACGACAGAGGAACACTGTAGTCCGTGAACTACTGCAGGGTCGCATGGAAGGGTCACGACTACATTAAGCTTTCGTCACAGGCAGCGGATACACCATAATGTATGCTTGACTGTCGAGCTCGTGACATGTACGCCTGTTCTGAAATAGGTTCACGCCTTGTCGAATCTGGCCACTTCACCGGCTCCTGAGACCAGTGATAGCCAGAGATAACTGGAGTATTCTGACAAGGAGATCCGGAGCAAACCGTGGAACCTTCCGTCCACCGTATGCCGTATTCAAACAGAAGAAGCCTAGTGCATGAAGCAGACCGAGGTTGTTGTTGCTAAGACCGTTGGAGATTCAAATGCGTGGTCGCATTAGGGCAAGCGTCCGGTAACCGTCCGATTGGAGGCTGTAATGTGGGACCGAGTATACTCTACGGTAGCTTAATTTAGGTCAGGGTCTCAATGCGGCGCAAAACAGTGTGCGGCTGGACGCGCAACGAATGCTAAGCAGGAGGCCAAGGTTTCGTTTATCAGAAACATAGCCGTGGTGTTGAGTTTAGATCTGGAAACTTTGAGTGCTAGCCGAAAGATAAGGGTCTCAGCTTCCAGAAGTGACATGTCCACAAGCCAGCATCGTGAACCGAGACGGCCACTGGGCTCTTGCACCCATTGGGAATAAGTGAAGATGGACGTGGATGATGTTGCTCGCAGACGACGCGAAAGTACTGACGCGCTGTCACGTGCGATCGGCAGCTAGTGTCTTTACGTAAGCAAAACAGCGCGTTTGCGAAGTGAGAGAGCAACAGCTGTCCGGCAACGACTCTCGACCGTCACCGCCCCATCTCTCCATTGTCGCAACCCTCCGCCTTTGTCCGTATTGTATATTCTGACGCGATCGCAAAAATGTAAAGAAACCAGCTTCTCGGCAGGCCTGGATGGCAGAGCTAACGTGGTGCAGGGAGGCGTTCAACGACATCTATCTCAATCTTTCGCGGAAGCCTGGCGCGGCTCGATTTTCAGACTCGGGCTTTGGCTGGAAGCCTGCAAACGGTGGCGAAACCTACACTTGCGACCAGTCACAGATCCAACAAGCGCAGTGGAGCCGAGCCGCGCGCGGTTACGAAATCAAGATCCTCTCGCGCAACGACGGCGTCATACAACTCGATGGATTCAAGCAGGAGGATTTTGATCGCGTATCCAAGGTCTTCAAATCTTGGTACGGCATAGGTCTCGATAACCGGGAGCATGCCCTGCGCGGCTGGAACTGGGGAAAGGCCGACTTCGGTAAGGCCGAACTTACTTTCAACGTCGCCAACCGCCCTGCCTTCGAAGTGCCCTATACCGAGGTCTCCAACACAAATCTGGCAGGCAAGAACGAAGTGGCCGTCGATTTCTCACTGCCTGCCGAAGGCGACGCTGGCGCAAATGGAAACTTGGGAGGAGCCAGATTCAGAGGCAAGAAGTCCGCAGGTGCTCGGGACCAGCTCGTCGAGATGCGCTTCTACATCCCCGGTACAGCCTCGAAGAAGGAGAAGACAGAAGACGGCGAAGAGGGCTCTGGCGCTGAAGATGTCGAAGAGACAAATGCTGCCAACCTATTCTACGAGACACTGATGGAGAAGGCTGAGATTGGCGAAGTCGCTGGTGACACATTTGCTACCTTTTTGGATATCCTACATCTCACGCCCAGAGGTCGATTCGATATCGACATGTACGAAAGCTCGTTCCGGTTACGCGGTAAGACATACGACTACAAGATCCAATTCGATTCGGTCAAGAAGTTCATGGTCTTGCCAAAACCCGACGACATGCATACCCTCATCACCGTTGGTCTGGATCCTCCCCTCCGACAGGGTCAGACGCGATACCCCTTCCTCGTCATGCAGTTCAAGCGCGATGAGGAGGTCAACCTTGATCTCAACATGAAGGGAGATCTGTTGGAGGACAAGTACAAGGACAAGCTGCAATCCCACTACGAAGCTCCCATTGCTACAGTTGTAGCGGACATCTTCCGTGGTCTCAGCGGAAAGCGTATCACTAGACCGTCCAGAGACTTCATCAGCCATCACGAGCAGTCGGGTGTCAAGTGTTCGATCAAGGCCAACGAAGGTCACTTGTTCTGCCTTGACAAGGCATTCATGTTCATTCCCAAGCCGGCAACCTACATCAGCATGGATAACATCGCCTCTGTGACCATGTCGCGTGTTGGTGGAGCTATGGCTGCAAGCCGTACGTTTGATATTACCTTCAGCATGAAGAACGGCCAGGCTGAGCATCAATTCTCCAACATCAACCGGTGGGTAATACTAATCTCAGACTAAAGACGCTGAAACTGACAAATACGTAGGGAGGAGCAACAGCCACTCGAGAATTTCTTCCGTGCCAAAGGTATCAAAACCAAGAATGAGATGGCAGACGATGTTAGTGATATCATTTCCTCTTACGCAAACTTGGCTGACATAGTGATACACAGTCCGGAGCCATTCTGGCAGCTGCTCTTCAAGATGAAGATCTTGCATCCAGCGATGATGGAGTACCAGCAAACCGCGGTAGTGCCGATGAGGATGACGAAAGTGTAGATGAAGACTTCCAAGCAGACTCGGAGTCGGAAGTTGGTGAGGAATTTGACTCCGATCATCAAAGCAGCGGTTCCGACAGCGATGCTGAAATGGACGATGCGGAGAGTGACGGCGACGCCGGGGAGGCGGTACCAGAACGTCCTAAGAAGAAGCAGAAGGTGTCGCAATAGTGACAGCCCTTGCAATGACCATAAGCGGGCACGGGGGCGCGGGTGGACGGCGGTGAAGGGGGCGCCGCATCATCTTCCGATGCTTGCGTGCTCATCGAAGATTGGGAATGCGATGATGATGAGGTTCGTCGCGCTGCCGCTGTTAACGCTTCGAGCGCGTTATCGTCAAAGCTCGCCCAGGTCGTGGAGGACGGTCCGATCTTTCTCATAGGTTATTGTGAAACTTGGCAGGATGGCAGGAAGTGAAGTTCCGGTCGTGAAGACAGGGAAAAGCACCCCTAATGCGTAGGTAGTCCAGGTAGAAGGGCCGACCTGCATCCTTAGCCGAACGCGCAGCGACCAGGAGAAAAGTTTAAATTCAGTGGCAAGTTAGCGTCCATAATCCGGCTAGTCCTCCCCCAGCGAATGCTTGCAGCGTCTACAAGTGGTGTCTGCATTGCAACTCGGCCGTGGCTCGGCTGACTGCGGCGCTTGACGCGACCTGGCGTGGGCGCGGCGGGCCCATGTTAGTTCCTTACACTGAAGTCTGGCTTCTCACACACCAGCTAATTTGAGCAACGCGAGCGCGATTCAGATTTGTGCACTAGCCCAGGAGCAATCCTTTCGTCGATTTTCGTAACCTTGCTCATGGTGACGGTGGATCCGCAACTGGCGCGAACCCATGCTAGACCCCGCATCTAACCATCGAGTATCAAACGCTTTATCGCCCTCGACATACTGGTATAGATATAGGGCAGCTCTCTCCGACTCATGTGGATGCTTTTTCTTACCCACTTCCCTCGGCACGAGGCTATGAGATCTTAAGCTTTTTCGCAACAAGACCCACACGATAGAACTACTTGCAATGCGATCACGAACCGGATGGTACGTGTACTTGTGCTTCTACATCGCCGCCGCCTACTGACCCTCGCCATAGTCTCACTTGCCGTCAGCGGAAGCTGAAGTGTGATGAAAAGAAACCTGTGTGTGGGCAGTGCACCAAAGCCTCAAGAGAATGCATTCCCAGCTCAGGTATCGTCTTTCGCCACCAGCACAATGCCTCCATGAACGGAGAAGACTCAGGGGATGAGAACTCCCTGAAAGGCTTCTACGCGTACAAAAACACATTTGACGAGGATGCCATCTGGATGGACATTCCTAAGCATGGTGAGACCTTCTAAGGTCCTCGTGTCACCCATGCAGCTCGGCTAATGCTCTGCAGTAACCTTCATCAACACCACCAACCCATACCTTGATCCTGGCACACCCGACTTCGACAACATGTCGACAGCGTCGATGGAGTCGCCGGGACCATTCGAGACTCGCTCTTTGCCTTCATGGCGCACTCACAGCAACTTTCATTCAGTTACCAGCACACCTTCCAGCATGGGGCCAGATCTGGCTCCGACCAGCGTTCCTTTCTGTTACACACCTGACCTCGAAGCCTTACCACCACTGATGCAGTCACCACCAGCCTCAGTTGTAGGAACGCCCCTTTCTCCACCTCTTTCATTATGCAACCGACGCATACATCCCGTGATGGACTTTACTGCCTCGACAGCCTCGCCGCCAATAGACCCCCGTCTCAACTCACCATACGACTCCGCCGACCACATGCACCGCTCCGTTTCGATAGCAAGCTCAAGACGCTCACCACCTCGATCCGATAGCGGTGTCTCTATCGTTCAAGACGATCACGAAATTGCTTTCCTGCTCCGGTGGTTTTCAGAAGGTCCTGGCTACTGGATGGATTTGTACGACCTCGGCACATACTTCGCGTCTTACGTTCCTGTACAGGCACGTGAGAACCCACTGCTCAAGTACGCAGCTGTTGCTTGTGCAGCGAAGTCTCTTGCACGTGTTCAAGGCCGCAAACCCGTCATGGGAGGTAGCGTAACGCGTCAAGCTCGCATGGAACAGTACCCCGAGGCATCAATGGTGGATTGGAAGCACAAGGCGGCAGTATACTACGATACAGCTGTATCACTACTGCTTCATGCTCTCAAGATGGATGTCGCCTCCTCTCCCGACGAGTCAGAATGCGAACTAAGAAATACCAACTCGGCCTACGATGGACCAGCACCCAAGCGACGACGGACATCAAGCAACACCTCGTTTGTATCCAACACCGACGAACTACTAGCAGCATCGGCCATCCTTTGTGTCTACGAGTTCTTAGATACTTCCGTCTCAGACTGGACAAAACATCTGAATGGTGCCAAGTCTCTGCTCGTGCTTTCACAAGAGCACGTTATGCCATTACAACTACCAACACCCACATCTTCGGTACCATCCGCAAGCTTCAACTTTGCTTCCAAGGCTCGACGAGCAACCTTTTGGAACATTGCCAGACAGGATATGCTCGCAGCCTTTATCAACAAGACTAATACACGACTGGACACCGAGGACCTCTCATTATGGAGAGAAGCTGGCCTCAAGATCGATGATCAAGGCTACATCATGCCTAGTAATACGACAGTATGTGGTTTCCCGGAAGATAACGACGTGATGAGGGAAGACCTCATCTGCAATGCCCTTGTCTGGCTCATGGCCAAGCTAGTCAACTTCATGGCTGCAGGCGACGAAGTTTCTAATGAAGCCGGCATGGCATGGGCAGGCGTCCCTCAGCGCACCCTCCTGGATTACTGGTTCGGTCTACGAAAACAGTTCCAGGTCTGGCATGATGGCCTCCCGGTCACATTCAAACCTTCCGCCAGGGTACCTTCGCAAGCATCCGGGCCGATGTCCAGCAACGATAACGTGTCCATGTTCACAGAGGTCTGGTACTCTATACCCATGTGCGCCTCCACCATGCAGACATACCACATGTCACAAATTCTCTTGTTCATGAACAAGCCACACGAGTCCACCCAGGGGCGCAGCACTGTCGTCGCCCGCATGAACTCTTACCAGTCGGTTCTGGCCACCTGCCAGAAGCACAGCCGCGAAATTGTTGGCATTTCGCTGGCTCGGTCTGACGAAGCGGTCCGGATCCACTCCGTGCAACCCCTGTTCACTGCTGGCCAGTGCCTCAGTGACGCACGAGAACGCCAAGTCGTTTTACATCTTCTACGTGACATTGAGTCCGATATTGGTTGGGCCACAGACTACCGCGTGCGCCAGCTGTTCGAGCAGTGGCAAGGAGAAGAATCAGAGGGTCTGGTACCATGAAGCACTCCACTTGGAGGCTTCAACAGCCACACAAACTTTGCCCTTAGCAAGCCCGCCGCCAGCCTCCTGCTGTCAGCCTCAGCCATGAGTCTAGGTACTACCGACAGCTTAGTCTGGGTAGCAGAGGTCCCGTACAAGCCACTACTAGCGTGCGCCTGGCCCTTGTCCATGGTGCGGGAACTATCGGAAGACTAGAGGAACACGAACTGTCAGTCCCAAAACCGACACAGGTCGCCCAGACCTCATCGAGCGCAACGCCGATGATCGGACGGTCTGCTGCAATGCGACCGCACGGGCTACAGCTTCAGATTGTGGAAGAAGCGTGTAAAGAAGGATCAGATAGCAGGAAGATTAGGATTGCAGTATTAGCCTGCATCCGACATAGATAACAAGCATACATAGAGATCGAATAGAAGCTTATCGCGCTTTGCAGAATATTTTCCTTGACTACGAATATGCAAACGTGACCTGCTAATTTTCTCAGCCCGACTGCATCATCACAACATGCACCAACAACATGACAACATCACTTCGAACATGAACTCCTTGACCGCTACCGCTTGATGCCGTCTTATCCGAATAGCTTCTCATTACCCCATACCCACTCTGAAACCAAGAGATTCTAGATACTCTACCTGTGAACTAGGCCTGAGTTTTCCTTCTGGAAGGGAGACTTCGCGCCTCTAGCAAGCACAACATACACCGGTCGGCGTTTGACCAGCGGACAAGCCAGCTGCACCCCCACTTTTCTTTCTTCGCCGCCAGTGCGGATCCGGTTCGCGACCGGATGGCAGTATCCATAGTACGCGCGAGACACATTTGAGTGCCCTGCATATATTGCCTTGCAATCACGGCCCAATCCGCGTGCTGGGATTGGCGATATATGACGCATGCCTAATAATGCGTGGTATACCTTGGAAAGAGTCTGAGACACCCTGTGATGCAGCAGGCGGTTCGTTACTCGGGGACTTTTTCCCCGGCGGTGCAATGTGGCGGTGCTTCGGCGGTTTGAAGATCATTATATCACAATCATCAGATGCGAGTGCAGTTGCGCACGCCATGGAAAGTTGCTGTCACAAGACCTGCGTAAATCGTGAAAGGTATGTGGAAGACTAGCTGATCATCTCGGACGCGAATTTGGTAAGGACGCTCGGCGAATAGAGAAACGTGGTTTAAAGTTTGGTTCTAGAGGAAACGCCTGGGACGGGAAGAAACGAGGTGCGTGCCTCGTAACGAGTCGGGATATTACCATTGGGGTATCCTGGCTCGGTGTCTTGGCGGACGCTTTGTGGAGGATGCTTGGTAGTCTGATGATGCACAATTGCTCCCCTACCTTGAATATGCACGTGTTTGCTGGCGAAAGTGTCGGGAACTGCCCTTCATGACATCATAATCATGCACCTTGAATCCTTCGTATATAGAGTATGGCCGACGAGTACGGTGGATAGCCGACGAGTACTGTGGATATCCGACAGGGCGTTTACAGCGTATGAACATTATGCATCGTTCTACACCGCAACGCTCCAAGTACGCTAAAAGCAATCGATGTTTGACTTGACCGGATGGTGGCTGCCTCCAAGTCTTGCAATCTTAGAGCTGCAGCGCGAATGCATATGCACATGCAAGCAAGACACCGCTTCCACCTATGCACGATGGCGTAGCCATCAAACGCTGGATAAGCGAGGGATAGGATACAAGGGCTTCTCGAAGATTTCCTGCTGCAGGTTAGTGAGGCTTAACGGCGCCTAGTGTACACTACTGCAGGTTTTCATGCATTTCACTAGTGCGCGGGCAAGCTGATGGTGTAGGGGCCATCGGATTCCCTCTTTGGGTGGCGTTCGCTGCGGCTCCGCGGTTTAGCCGTGTGCTGGGAGATGAGACGCAGGACGCGTAAAGTAGGTGTGAGAAATTGTGGTCTGAGAATGACGTATGGATCTGCTTTGAATAACCTCAGATGTTTGTTTACGGACATCTATATAGCCGAAATAGTCCTCATTACCCTGGACCCATGATATGTCTCAACCGGAATGAGTCTTGCGTAAACTTCATTCAAAAGTGTGACAGAAGTTTCAATTCGCTAGCGGAGCTCTAGTCCCAGCCAACGGAACAGTAGGTCAGAACACTCATGCGCTATGTTACAGCGCTACTCTAAACTTCATGCGGCAGAACGCACGAGTTAGTTTGCTGCGTGGTAGGTTGGCAACGTGCATGCCTCGTGGTTGGGCTCGAGCTAAGATGTTATCGAAGACATTTAGGTTTTCGCACGTACTCCAGGATACTGAGTATGCTTGCTGCCGATCCACCGCCGAAACCAGCCCCCACGGCATCTCGACTGCCTATACAGGCATTGCCGAAAGTGATGTGTTGTCTCGGTGTCCACGAGCACAGTCTGGAGGAAGTCAGATGCATACGTGAGATCAGAGGCGAACACGCCGAGTTCGCGCAGCCCGAGAATACGTGTTGAACGATCATTTACGACGCTCTCTGCGTGTCGCCTCCCCTTGCTGCCGCAATAGTGGGCGACACCGTCCGATACGATGGTCATGATAGCCGAACGCGCCGTTACCAGCCATTCCTCCACATCCCGCTTGGTGTTGAGAAATACGCTGACGCGCTAAGTGCAAGAGGTGCCGGTTTAGCCGACTGCCAATATCTCTTACATCTTCACTTTCAGGCCTCAATCCTATCATTCGCAACGTGTTATCGGCGACCTCGTCACAAATACACAGTCAAAGCGGCGAAGATCGGACTCAGACATGGGTAGGCGATGTCATCGCAAATCGGTGATTTGATAGAGGGGGTGCTGATCTTGGGGTCGCGGGATATTAACTTGGCGGGTCCCTGGATCCCAGTCTACTGGATAGATCTATCCGGCGGAACGATGAAACCGGGGGCCCGTGCACGAGTCACCCAAATTTCTGTCCTCTTGACATGTGCTTGGGGCCGGGGTAGAGGAGCGGATTGTCGCGGGCTTGTGATGTTTCGCCGTTGTTGCGGAATCAACCGTGGCGTAAGTATGCATGACATAAGACCGAACGTTGGGACTGACAATCACCACCTTCATGGGAAATGCAGTCCCTTCCCCCGGCGGCTTACAGTGTACGAAGTAAGCTCGGTGGCAACTAGCGGCGCTCTGTCCCTACGTAGTAGTAGGATAGCCTTGTGTGACGCAAGACTATCTTTTTTGGTGTTGATGAGATAGAGGGCTGTGCCTGTGACGTCACCGTGAAGATTTTTGTACTTCCTCTCTCTCACCTCTCAATGTACCGACTTGAGGTTGTTCTAGCGCTCCTGCTCTTCACTTGTGGTCCATGGCTTAGAGGCCATCACATCAGTCTCTCATGAACGCATGATGCGCTACGAGAATGCAGCGTTGGAACAGCTCTGGACGCTGCTAGAATTCGACCGTCTCGTACGGCCTTGTTCGTGAGCCTGACTCTTTGGGCGCGCTGTGTTTTGTTATGGATACGGATATGGCGAGTCCTTGAGTTTAATAAAGCAGAGCTTGAGCAACGACGGAGTGATGGTTGCATGTTGTTGTGCGGCTTTAGCAAGAATGACAACAGCGATATGATGGAGAGCAATAGGTACTTCGTTCTGCATTCATGAAAAGCGACAGCGATTCTGAAGTAGAGATCTAGTCCTGGACGTTGACGTAGAGAAGGATCTAAGCCTTGCCCAAATGCTTCTAGCTCCCGACTATGTCTGACCCTGAGCCATACCGCCAAGCCAGACACCGGACGTCACTTCGACGTAGGGGCCCTTCAGATTGAAATAGAAGAGGAACAGGATATGTTTCCGGGTTCAGAGCTGAGCGCGCAATGGTGTACGAGGGTAGTTTTGAGTAGGGGTGGCTACTGAAATGGAACGCGCACAGCGTATGTCAATCTTCCCGTCTTTCTTTCCATACTGTACATTTCGCAATGCCCAATGTATACCAGCGAGCCTCAACATACTGTCGTTCTTGCTCATGTACTACCTAATGAGGTTAGAGGGCCGCCCCAAGTACCAAGCATTGATCAACACCGTGCCTTAGATTTAGACCAACACGCACGGGTATCGGCAATCTGGTAGCAAAAAGAAATCAGAAAATCATACGTTACACACCCAGACGCTCTTGCCCGCTAAGCTGGAACGGCCCTTCCGCCGCAATCAACACTGCTTCTTTGGGCATGTACTGCTCCGCTCACGCATTGATCGGTGAAGAAAATTGTAGTCGCCACGATCCGCGATTCAGGTATAGCGTATCCCGTCCACTGGGGAGCATGTCCTAGGTATACTGTTTCAGAAAAGCTTGGTTTCGACGATTGCAGCTGAAATCATGCATAGTATGTCGACCCCGGATACATCATATTCCTAAACGCGAAATTCGAGACGAGTGTGATGGAGTCGTCCCATGGAAATAGCAGAGGGCAGATCCACCTCTCTACGATCTCCCAACCCCGCAATCCATGCTCATCCTACGCATAACAGGGTCTGCGTTAGAGGAACTGCCTGCTGATGGGGAGTTATGATACCACTTCCCCTCATTTGTTCCATGGGAACGAATGTGGCAGTACCAACATTACTTTCGCAACCCGAACGCACAGACATTGATATCAGCCACCACATACTCTCAGCCAAGTCGCATAGACAGAAGGAGTTAAACATCGATTATTGTAAATACTATCATGCACGAGGGCTTACGTGGTTGCGGCACGGCGTCGACGCCGACACGTGGAACAACGGCAAGTGTCCGGCGTAGGCTTGCCGCTAGACAGGCTATACACACAGTACCCACATAGTAGCCCAGCTCCATCGAGGCCACTCATTTATCCCTACTCAATAGTCCACGTTGATTCTGGAAGCTGTCGTTTCTGAACGTGGCTGCATGCTCAGGCGTGATTCTGACTCGAAGCGTCCTCAGCTACGTCGATCACGCCCCTGCTAGGATCTGCGTCTCTTCTGTAGAAGTTCTGGCTGCAGCATGGCGATCAGGGTCTTGCGGTATGGCAACGCTAGCAGTAGCCGCATTGTAATGGCCCTGCTCCTGAGGCTCATTATCGGGTGACGGGAGCGTGTTCAAATCCTTGACTAAATGCTCCTGTTCCGCGGATGGCTCTTGCCCAGTAGTTTCTATCGCCAGTATTTCCTCTAAGGGCGCAGGCTTTGTTTGAGCAGCCAATCCCGTATCGTTGCGAGGAAAGTCATTTCTCTGCATTGAAGCCTCACAAGCATCGCGATGAGCGCCCTAAAGGCTGACTTGGGCTTTCCGTGCTTGCCGTCTTGGAACTCTCATGATTAGTCGAGGTCGGTTGCAAGCCTAGCAGATTAGGCAGCAATTCTTGTGTGCCGACTTCAGATGCATCGTGAGCTTTGAAAGAAGTATTCTCCATTGACCAGGTTTGCGGTGAGCCGTATTCGGAGGAGGCAGTCGATTGGGGCTCCACACTATTCGTGCTTGGTCTAGCTGCATTGCCCTGGCATTTTGCCTCACTAGTCACTTGCGTATCCATGTGGGGCTCATCGTGGGGTTTGGCAGCGTCTCGCACTTGATCGGCGCACATCGCCGCTGTGGTTGCTGTTTCTGGAACAGCGTCACTTCTTCGCTCCAGACCGTCGTCTCCAATATTCTCCACTCGACCTAGAATTCCGTCAACTTGATGATGATCGCCATGTGCTCTTGTTGTTGATAAGGCAGAGATTGAGCTATCTGTCATCTCTTCAACACCATCTGGCGCACCGTCAAGCTGTGGTTGTTTCTCTTTTCGTGATGTCTCCCGGCTCCGTCTGCTTTTCAGACTTCTAGTTTGCGCTGGCTCAGCGCTCGAAGCTCCCTTAGCTCTCCGCGCAAGTCTCGCAGCACGAGCGTCTGTAGGAGCACGTTCATTCTGGTTCAGCTCATCTATTGCTACGGCATCTTCCGTTTGAGTGATTGCGTGCTCAGCAGCTGCGAGTTTTTTCAATTCCGCCCATGATTTTGCTTTTTCGCTCTGTCCTGCAAGCTCGTCCTCGCTCAGCTCAACCCACTTGGCGCCGACTTTCTTTATACCGGTGAACTTGAGAAACGTCAGGCCGGAACCGCTGGTATCCATGTACTCCGATCCTTCAGGCGGCGCGTTCCTCCCCCGCACGTACGTTTCGCTCGGTCGATGAAACTGCTCACTGCTCCTGTAGTCGTCGTAAAATTGGACTGAATCTGAAAACTTCAGTCGCTTGCGTCCTGTTGATGCTGCTGCGCTACGTGATCGTTTGGGCGATGGCCGGAGTGAGAGCGGTATACCTTGTCGCTCATGCGGTGCTAAACCGGATGTGTCTCCAAATCGCTGGGTAGTAGGAGAGTGAGATCGCCGTCGCTTGGTTCCAGGTATCTGCTCTTCATCTTGATTGGTATTATCTCCGTCGTTTGAGTCCTTGTTTTCAAGTTGTGCATCCTGTCCGTCTCTTGGTGATCCGGGCGCCTCAACAGTCATCAACCAGTTGTCAAAGTCCATATGGGCTCTCATGTGGTTCTCTCGCGCAAAGGATTTAGTGATGGAATCGCGCTTGTTTTCGAATACAGCCCAATCAGCATCTGCAGCTCGTATCGCATCATAGAGAGAGTCGAATTGCTGACATGTACTACATCCTGCGTGTGGCGTGTCGGGCGATGTTGTCGGTGTGAGTCCCGTTTCAGACACCGCAGCCAGGACTCTGGCACATGATTTGCATTTTACAGACTCGTATTTGGCGGCCATTCAGTTGGTGTTTGGTTGTGGACGTGATTGTGTTGACGAGGTGAGGGTGTTCAATCGAAGATTTGTGGGCGTGGATCTTGCGAAAGTGATGAGTAATGAGCCCTTGCACAATTATAATGCGAATCATGTATGTGGAGGGGCACAGATGGGTATGTAGTCGAGTAGTGGGGATGGTCGACACAGGGTGATTGCCAGTGATCAAGAAACAAAGACGCGACTGTGGAGCTGTCGCGTCTTCAACAACAGCGCGCCAGCCTTTATCGCTTTTGCAAACAAGTATCGTGCCCTACGAGAGCGAAAGTCGAATGGGAAGAGACAGTAGAAAATACATGAATGACGGGATCGAAAGTATATGGCTGAGTTGTTTCCTGACAACCATATCGTTGTTGCCACACACCCTCGCTATCGATGATCCCTGCTCGGCAGTCCCCTTTCTCGCTTCCACAAACAGCAACTACGATGTTTCATTCTTCCATAATCTTCACCGCCCGCTGTTTTCTCGAGGGAACTGTCGCGTCAAACTGGCGACCTCAAAGCCCACGTCGTCCATGAACTGCGGCGATATGCAGTGCGTAAACCGCGAACACCTGAGTTGGAGTCGCGAATGAACGCGTCAGACAAACCCATTCACGCAACGCCGGTGACGTCATCAGGATCATGCGCAATCAAAACACGACCCAAACTTCTAATAACGAGGTACTCCTAGTAGTTCAAGTCTACGAAGTCAGGCTATGAGAACAAAACTGCGTTCTTATCGCGGAAGCGTGGGAACATAGTGCATCGTCCTTCGACCAAACGCTGTTTGACGCTGGAGGATTCGATAGCAACTGGATACCCTAAACAACAAAAACATTACTTAGGCGCCAGGACAGCTGAACATTGTTCTCGGCGCAATTTGCATTCGAAAAGAACGCCAACAACTCAGACCAGACCAGACGTCCAACCAAAGGCGTCAAACGAAATGCCGTTGGTCTCACCATGATCGATCTTATCGAATTGCATCAGACAGAACAAGAAGCTGCTATTGTGCTTCAGGAAATCCACTAGTCAGTTTCAACAACCTGGAAATATTCCTGAGCTCCCAGTGTAAGCCGTAGTGTGTTCTATTCCTATGTCGTGCTTCGTTATATCATGGGGCCGGACGCCTTTGAGATGGATACAATGTCTTCAGCTTTTTCTTCATCTTTTCTTTCCACTTGGACGATATACCCTGGTCCTCAACTGGTCCACTTCGGCCCTGATCAGTCGCCGGATCTGCAACATATGCGCTTGTTTCGGTCGCGTTTGTGGAGTCTGACGACTGAGCTGTAGTGGACTGGCTAGCCGAGGCTGTCAGGCTTCCGTCACCGCTACTCGATGCAGTGCCCACTGTGGGTTGTTGTAAGTGGTGTTCGGTCTCTTTGACAACCTTGGGTTTAATGCGACGACCTGAACTTGAGAGGTTGACAAACACAACAGCGCTGGTTGCTTTCAAGGAAGATACATCGACAGGAACTGCCTCTTTCAACATACGCGTCCGTAAAAACTTCTTGGACACTATGTACTGCGCTGGATTGTGATGATCCGCCTTTATGGTTTGCTTGCCCTTCAGGCACTGGCAAGTGTCGAAAGGCCGACATGACGACACCCATTCAAGCTTGCGCGTTAAACCTCCCTCTTCCAGCCCAGGCTCTAATTGCTGTAGCTTCTCTTTATACAGTAATGTAAGAGTTGGAACAGAAGAGGTCAGATAATCCTCACCCTTAGGTACGGATCGCCATGCTACGCACATAGCGTCAGCATTACTAGGGCGGATGAGGTCTCCGAAGCCCTTGCCAAAGACCGTGAGCACCCCTATAGTAGGTAATAGATCGATCCAACCGTTTTCCCCAGAGCTGAATCGTTCGATACGAGAAAGAAACTGAGGACGAGATTTGACAAGATCGAGGATGTCGAAACCTACGATGCTTTTCCGGGTGTCGAAGCTCTGAGTGATCCTTGTGCCTCCTTCTGCAGCTGCACGGGTTCGGGCTTCGACGATGAGCTCCAGCGTATGTAGTATCTTGTCCACTCTGTTTCCAAAAGTTGAGTACGTGTCGACTGGCTGGCCATTCCCGAAGGAACGGTCTTTTATGTAGACGTTCAGCGCTCGGTTCTCCCAATCTCTTAGTGTACGTTTTGCTGCAGCGCGCCCGCCCCGATCGATCCAATTTTCTTTCAGCTGGCTTTTGTCAAAGACCCAATCATACGTGCTGTCAGGGTTGGTCTCGTCCAATTGTAGAGAGATTCGGACAAGGTGGAGTAGTGCCGAAGCACCATCAACTAGCCAAGCTCTGCGGTCTGTCACGTCGTAAAAGTTGATAAACTGCTCACTCAACCAACTGAGCACCTGGGAGAAATCACGGGCCTCTCCAGATATTATTGGTTGCTCTCTCTGGTTGATCCGTGCATTCAAGCCGCCTATCACATACATGCCTCCTTCAATGTATAGACGGTCGATGACACTGTACGAAGGAGATGGCAGTGTTCCAGATGCGGAGACATTGAGATCAGCCTGAGGATGACCTGGTACCATGGTTAGAACCGAGATGTTGTATTTGCGCTATTCCCAGTTCCCAACCTACCGCAAAAGTCTGCCGCTTCCGAACACCATCCAATGATATGACGACAGTTTCTCAGTGAGCGGAGCAAAGGCAGTTCTCTTTCATTTGAAGTCGTTTCCTCTATCCGAGGGTCGAAGTAAGATATACGCTTGCCCGGGTTGTTGCTGGTATAAGCATGCCACATAATGACATTGTCATCCAAGACAATTTCAGTAGCGACCAGCAACGTGTCGAAGCCTTTCATAACGATCCGATTCTCCAGGCGAACTACTTGTTGGGCTTGTAAGAGGCTGGCCATGATGCCTAGCGATGCCTCAAGACCTGCAGCTGGCGTTGACTTTCGGAGTATAGGATAACCACTGACTACGATAGGGTTCGTAAACAGCTTGATCCAACAAGTACCTTTGACTGACACGGGAGGCTGCTCGCTATCTTGAATGTCGAAAGTGAGCGCGCTCGATATCATGATTCTTTTGGCTTCTTGTTCGGTCGATGTTTCCACTGATAAGATTGTCATGCGCGGTGACATCATAACTGGTGTTGCTTGTGGTGGTGATACGCGTAGTGCTGCCGCTAGCCATGTTATCTGCTCTGCAAATTCGGGTATCGTGTACGGGTTCCCATAAGCCACTATAAAGTACTCATCGGTGTACAAAACGCTGATTTCTACGCGAAGGGTAGGCGAAAGAACATCTGACAATCCATAAGTGCGAGAAGCATGAAGATTATTGGGGAACATACATGAGCATGCCTGACGTGGCTGGCAATTTAAGAGCTCCAAAAGCATACCTTCCAGTCGTTCACCAGTAGTTGGCCATGTTTGGCGGAGATATGTGCCCACGGTGACAGACTGAACGTCATTGCTTGAGCCCGTCAGACACAATATACGATTCCACATATCTGGAGAAGGTGACACTTCTAGTGACTCAATATACTTCACCAGGTCCCAAGTCACATAAACCTGCATATGAACAGTTAGCAGTGAATTCTGGTCACGCATGTTCTGACCAACCGCGCGACGTATGTCCGATCCAATTTGATCCTTGATGTTAGGACTCGGACAGTAGACTTGGGTCCTGAGCTTGAGCTTTGCGAGGAGCCAGCGGTAGGCATCTGACTTCAAAATCCATTCTTCGTATCGCTCCAATTGCGGTTTGGAGACTCTTTGAGATGGGTAGATTAGAGCTTCCTGTTCCTGTGCAAGTGGCGAGCATGCAGTAGTATCTGTTCGAACGCTAAGGTCGTCTTCTTCAAGAGGCTCACTTCCGTGCATAACGCTGACAAGACTGCTACGAAGTGGGTCTCAGCCTATGGGCCACTGATGAACAGATGGAAACAGCAGAGTAGTCGGCCATGTATGTTGTATGCACTTACCTGCTTCCGTCAAAGAGACATACCGACGCTTCCCGTTGAAGTGGCGTTGTAGATTCTTCATGCAATCTCCACGCGAAAACCTCCAGCCAGTTGCCGATTTCAAGAGGCGGAATTTGGCTTATGGGTTCAAGATCGGCAATCGCTTGTGTGTCCTTCATCAGTCGTTGGGCAATAAGTTTGACAAGTTTCGGCCCAATCACCAACGTGGAATACAGTACCGGAATTTCCTCTGACGATAGCGTATATTTCGGTAAGGAAGGCGCACGTTCGTCTCTTAGATCTGGATGGAAATGAGAGGTATCGGCCTTAGTCGTATGGATACTCCGTGTTGGAGAGGTCCTTTTCAAACGACGTGGCTGTTCCAGAATACTGAAATCATCTAAAGAGTTGAAGGTTTCACCTCCTGGGAGTCGTGTCGATATATCGTTCCTGAATGACTGCTTTCCGGCGTATGAGAGGGAGTTCAGCCTTGACGAGAACCTGCCAGCTGAAGGGCGGGAGAGCAAAGGTACATTCCAATTTGTCACTCGCTGTCCTTGCTCTAGACCATGTTGTCTCTCAAGCATGATAGCCCGCTTAGAAGCGCCTTCACGAAGACGGGCGTAGGCAGGAACAGTATAGCCTTCAGGACTTTGTTGACCCATTAAGGCATGAAGTTTGGAGATCTCGATCCTGCCAAACTTCGTAATCATCTCTTTCATGGTCGCAGTCATGATTCTTGTGAATAAGAAGTCTCCCGGTACTGGGATCTTAGCCGTATCATGTATGGCTGCAAGTAGCTCTATTCGGCCAAAGAGATCACTGCGATAGAAATCCGTGTATTTTGCAGCATCTGAAACGGAACGTGAACAATCCAAGATGAGAAAAATATCAAAGATAGCATTGTCGAAGAGACTTTGTATCTTGTGCCAATCGAAGTGTGACCCACGTACTCGGTGACTGCATGGGGTTAGGTAAAGGACAACTCTACGTTCCTCAGCTCACTTACGGTCGCCAGAACGCCAATAAAGTCTGGGCCCATCCAGGTTCAGCATACTGTTTGCTATAATCGTTGTCTGTATCCTCGGCGTAGTAAATGATCAACAGGCAAGACGCACCAAGAGCACGCGTCTTGTGTGTGATTGTTATATGCTCATCCTCCACTATATCGTATACTACTTGAGGATTGTCGTCGGTAGAGATGCCATAGGACCGCGTCTCAAAGTTCAGGCTCTCGAAGAGGTTCTTCAGCTTCCTAATCTCCCGGTAATGATCGGGACGAAAGTCCGAAGGTTCATCGTACAGCAGCAGTGCTTTGACATAAGCGTAATGTGGTTGAGATACAGGATCAGTCATCTTCTGTACGATATGGTCCTCGGGATATATGCTTCTAGAATAACCTCCCAGAGCGCTACCTCCCAGAGTGCTGGTATGGAGGACGCTGTGTGCATCCATGATGTGAGAGGACAAGGCTGGTGGAAAGGATAGGGCTGAGCGATGATAGACACCAAGAACTGATGAGATGACAATCTCTGCCAACGGCTACGTCTATTAGACATACTAGTATGTGGGCTAGAGAAGCGTCTTCTTGAGCGGGATTTCTACAGAAGATGAATGTGCTGTACAATCTCCCAATAAACCCCTCAAAACAGCACGCTTCAGCTGAGGCTGAGTCGATATGCGGTGTTCTCATTGGTTGGCTCTCGAAGGACAAGAGATTTCGATGCGCCCAACAATTATGTATGCCGCTCATTGGGCCATCAATGAGCCTGGCGTACATGCTGCAGATCTGTGCTTACATGGAACGAGAACGCCTTGGGGACGGTGGATGATCGACGACACAAGGCTGAAAGTATGCCGCAATCAACCTTTCGCTGCTGTGCAACCAGGGACAAGTCAACAGCGCACCTCCTGGAGCAGTGGGACGACGAGTCAAAACGCTCACAATATACATGTAGCGCATTGTAGTATCTTGTCATATAGTAGCTACAATCAAAACACCACTGGTGCTTGCCTGCCGGTTAGCTATTATGGTGCTCGTAGGACATCTAGCTACTCGACGCAATAGAAGGAATGGCAGCGCCCTCGGCAGCGCCACAGCCTCCAGAGAATCACTGGTCGAACATCTTTATTCCCCTGTATGCCTGCACTAACTTTCTCCACGGAAGCTTTGAAACCAGGCTGTAGCTCCCTGACCCGCAACCTTCTTCGCAGGCCCATGTCTCCGATCCTTTAGCCGCACAGGTACATCTTGGCTCACTGTAGCTGTGTTGCTCTCGCTGGTCATGGTGCTTCGTGGATCCAAAATGAGAAGCAAAGAAATGTTACCATCAGTTTGAACGACTCTAGGCGTGGGCGGCATGTGTGGAAGCAGTGAAACTGTATATCACGGATCTGACGAAAAGCAGCTGATGGTGGGATTAATTTGTATTTTCACTCCACGACCACGATCTCTTTATCTTCAAGCTATGCCGCTCCAGTCTTGTCCATACGTCTCCATAGACCCAGGAAGCCACCTCCGACAACTTGGTGGCCGACCTTAGGTCTACACACCATGACCCATTTGTCGTCTTCCTTGGTCAACTCTTCTGCCAGCTCAGTGTCGCGTGCGGCTTGGCCTGACTCTGAATCCGTGGTCTCGTCGGTCGAGGGTTCAGAGGGCTGCTTTGTGTGAGCATCCTGTTTGGATGCTCTGGGTTTCACGGCGCGAACATCCCACTCGCGAATTGTGCCTGCGCCAAGCTCAATGACTTGATCAAGCAGATATGGCAGTCTTTGTTCGCGGATGGTTTGGACACATTCGGCGATCTGGGTGACGCTTGGGTTGAAGACAGCGAGCAAGCCATTGGCGTGCAAGGCGGGAGCGACGTTGGGAAGGTGGCTAGTCGCGTTGGGGAGGTCTAAGAAGACATGGCTTAAGAAGGGCTCTTCTGTCTTCCTTGAGGCTCTTTGTTTGGCTATCCACTCGGATACGTCGCCCACGTGGAAGTCGACGTTACCCGCGTACATGCCATGTCGGAAGCCTTCTACAATCTTCTTTGCGTGTTTGGAATGCTTGCTAGATATGTCCAGCGTGTGTATGATGGCGCGACGAGCCTGTTTCCATGACTCGAGCCCTGACTCTTGCAGGTCTGACAGAGATTCGCCGAGGTATACTGCGTCTTCAGAATCTTCCTCAGTTGCTGTATAGGAAGGTGTTCTCGGAATCGGCGGATTTCCGGCGTGTATGGCGCGGGAAAGGTGCAGCGTCAGGGCGCCGTGGCCTGTGCCAGCTTCGAGTATCTCGAATGGTGGTTCGGTGCTTGGGCTAACGGAGGGAGTATCAACGTGAATGTCGAGCAGGGACACAATGAGATTCGTATCCGAAGGGTAGATCTAGTCGATGTTAGTATATATGTACGGTGCGATGGGGCTATACGGATACGCACTGGGGTAACAAGACGTGGAGTCAGTCTGACGTACTCGGCCAGTGTAGGGTCGTGGATGCGGAAGGAGGCACCCTTGTGGGAGTGGACAATCTGGCGCGGCTCTTTCCCAATCACATCTTCATGCTTGATGACGCCCCTGTGTGTACCGGTCGACTTGGGCGCCTGCAGCTTCACGAGGCGGCCATCCTGAGTCTCTTTGGCCTCGCGCAAGAGCACAACATCGCCGTCTATGCGATTGTGAGCTGAGTCGGAGTGGTGGAAGCGGAGGTCTTGCCTTGGAATGCGCGGTACAGGCGGGAGCTACTCGTAAAGTGTCGTGCACGCGGGGGTAGTGCAGCACATCGTAGCTGGTGGAGGGAGGAAAATCGCATGGCTTTGTCAGAGCAAAGATGTGCAGATGCGGAGGTGACGCCTTCTCCGCACCGCGAAGCGAGCCGCGACCGCGGGAGGCATTGAGTGCCGGCGTCTCCAGACAGGTACCTGATCAGCCCTGCGCAGAAGATGGAGACCCAGGGCTGTGTTTATGCCTTTGAATCTCCCTCGAGCTAACGAACACTTCCCTATCGGCAGTTATGAAGCCCAGAAGAGCGCGTTGTGACTCTCTGATCCCTGCATCGCCATTGACGATCTGAGATTCCAGGGTTCGGCCTAGCCAAGAACACCATGGAGCACCACCTGCACACTTCCAAGACACATGTGCGCCGCTCAACACGCTTGACCTCACCTCTCCAGCAAACGCCTTCATGTCATGGACATAACCTCGCGCTGCTGTGAAACACACACTTGCTGAACTCGACCCTGCCTCTATGCGCCACTACTCACACCCCCGAGACCCTCCACCATGACGCGCCGCATAGTGAGTACAGAGACGGCGTCGTCCTAGTCAGCACTAACCACCACAGGTACGGACGGGCATACAGCTCATCGCCCTTACCATCGTCGTCTCCGTCACCGTATTCTTCCTCGATAATCGCTACCGCGTCCTCCCTCAATCTGTCCACAGTCACATGCCACTGCACCACGACGGCCTCATTATCACCGATATCACCGTGCAGACATGTTCGACAATCAATCCCCTCTCCAAATGTATGCTCGACCAGAAGAAGTGGCATCGCATCGAGAAGGACTTGCACCTCGGTTCGGGATGGGTTACCAAGTCATACGTCCACATCAAGCGCAAGCGGGAAGAGGAGCTCAAGACTGAAGACAAGGTCATCATCGACGTTCGCACAGGCAAGCTTGACCCCTCTGTGGGCGAGAAGGCCCAGGCGTCAGAGAAATGGGAGTCACGGCCAGCTGGCATCTGGATCAAGCGCTCGCTGAAGCGTCACGCGAGCGACTCCAAGAAGGCAGTAACGGCCGTCGACATTCTTTTTGGCGCTGATGCAGTAGAGCCACGTCCTGGCTGGGAACTGGTCAAGAACGGAGCCCTGCATCTCGAGACGGGCAAAGCGAGCACCGATCCTCGTCTCAGCATACGAAGAGGCCCGGCAGCCAAGGTGGAGAAGCCTGTACCCAAGATCAGGAAGGATGGCAAATTCAAGATCATGCAGATATCCGACCTGCATCTCAGCACTGGCCTGGGCCACTGCAGAGACCCGGAGCCCAAAGGCCACAACGGCGGACACTGCGATGCCGACCCTAGGACCATAGAGTTTGTCGAGAGAGTTCTCGACGATGAAAAGCCAGACTTTGTCGTCTTGTCCGGCGACCAGGTCAATGGCGACACAGCACCCGATGTCCAAAGTGTAGGGTGCCTCCTATTCCAAGAGTGACACGATAGCTAACCACCTCCAGGCCTTGTTCAAGATAGTCGACCCCCTCGCAGAGCGCAAGATACCATACGCAGCCATCTTCGGCAACCACGACGACGAAGGCACTCTCTCCCGCCACGCGCAAATGGATCTCTACGATTCCCTGCCCTACTCCGTCAGCGAGCCCGGTCCCAACACGATAGATGGCGTCGGAAACTACTTTGTAGAGATCCAAGCCCACAGCAGCAAACACTCAGCCCTAACCCTATACTTCCTCGATACACACTCTTACTCACCAGACGAGACCCACTACCGTGGCTACGACTGGCTCAAGCCAAATCAAATCGACTGGTTCAAGACCACCGCTCAAGGCTTGAAGGAAGCGCATAGCCATTACACTCACAAGCATCTCAACATGGCTTTCATCCATATCCCACTTCCAGAGTATGGCAATGTCGAAAACGAACGCGTTGGAAACTGGACTGAGCCCATTACCGCCCCGGCTTTCAACACCCATTTCAAAGACGCCCTGGTCGAATACGACATCAGTGCAGTCTCATGTGGCCACGACCACGTAAACGACTACTGCTCGCTGTCCAAAGAACCCGAGACCGGTGATCCAGAACTGTGGATGTGCTACGCCGGTGGCAGTGGCTTTGGTGGCTATGGTGGTTACAACAACTACCACCGCCGATTACGCGTCTTCGAAATCGATACAAATCAAGCACGCATTGTGACATGGAAGCGGTTGGAATATGGTGACACTGGGAAAAGACTTGATACGCAGATTATTGTGGATTCTGGAAGGGTCATAGGGAGACAAAGCGCCAACGACGCGTGAGACACGTGAGTGATTTGTAGAAACGATCGCATGTCAAGGCGTTTAGGAGTATTATTATGGGCGTTTGGAAAATCACTGCTCTTGGAGATGTTGTTAGAGATCATTCCCAAGGTGGGCTACAAGATGAGCAATAGCAGATTTGAATCAACAAACGCAAATTCGATCAAATCTCACCTGGATGGAACGTGCACGAAACTATTGACATGTCTTGAAATTTTCTGAAAAGGCAGGTAGTGCTGATCCCAGCTGCTCCGGAGTGATAAGCACCAAAAAGCAATAGCTAAGCTTTTCTTACGCTGACGATAGACGCGCCTTAGTCGTGACAGGACGCCTAATGTAAGGTTCCAATGTTTCGGCTTGACGATTCGGCACCAGCCATCTACAACAACGCTATATCCGTAGGGCGAAAGCTGAGTAACACAAAAAGCAGTCAGCAAATAGCGCTGAATACATACATGGGCTGCTGGGATAAGTCACAGGGAAGTTATAGTATGGCATGGGCCCAAGACGATATCTTTATTAATCTGCATGTTTACTACACCCTTTCTCAGAGTTCTTCATCATCGTCCTCGATATGCCTTTTCTCGCCCAAAAATGTTTATCCATCCCTACAAAAGACATCCTGTCGTGGATGTATGACAACCCACTTTTCGATCAAGATAGACCTGTACGCTCTCTTAGTACCCTCGCGTTGTATTGTTCCCACCATACTAATACGCGGCTTCAGATATATATCGACGCCAGCAACCCAACACACCACATTACCGCTGCACAGGCCCATGTTCTCATTCGCCAACTCATCGCCGGATTCAAATATGCGGGTATACAGACGGGCGATGTCGTACTAGTGCATGCCTTCAACTCGATTTACTACCCTATCATTGTCTTGGGTATCATAGGTGCAGGCGCAATCTACACAGGCACAAACCCAGGTTATACGAGATGGGAGATAGAACACGCGCTGAAGAGTAGCGCAGCAAAGATGGTGATTTGCGACACAGAAGTGCTGGAAAATGGGATGAGTGTGGCCGCGGAGGAATGTGGTCTACCTAGAGAACGAATCTTAATGCTAGACGATACTAGTCTTCATCTTCCACCACAACGAGCGGCAGACGACAAAACGTCTTGGCGTACACTGCTCATGCATGGCGAGGCCGATTGGCAGCGTTTCGACGAACTGGAGACGAGCCGGCGTACGATCGCTGGTCTGTTCTTCTCCAGCGGGACGACGGGGTTGCCCAAGTTGGCGAAACTGTCGCATTACAACCTCATCGCGCAACATACACTAGTCTTCCAGGCGAATCCGCGGCCATACCTTCTCAAGCGTCTAATTGCGCTGCCAATGTTCCATGCTGCTACTGCGCCGTCGACGCACTTCTCCCCTCTTCGCGCCGGACAACAACAGATTGTCATGCGGCGGTACGAACCTCGAACGTTTCTTGAGATGGCGGAGAAGCATGCAATCACGGATTTAACCCTCGTGCCCCCACAGGTAACCAGTATGTTAGCAATCCCGTTGACCAAAGCAGAAAAAAGGAGGATGTTGGCAACTGTGCGTTGGGCGGTTGGCGGAGCCGCACATCTCGACGCTACCACACAGAAACGCTTCCAAGACCTACTTCCACCGGGATCACCATTTACACAGATCTGGGGAATGACGGAAGTGAGCTGTTTCGGGTCCATCTTTCCCTGGCCTGAGATAGATGACACAGGCAGTGTGGGAAAATTTTTATCGAACCTGGATGTGAAGTTGCTGGATGATGACGGAAAGGATATCACGAACTTCGACGTGAGGGGTGAGCTGGCTGTGAGAGGGCCAACAATCACGAGTGGATATGTTGGTGTGGCGCGAGAGCGAGACTTTGATAGCGAAGGCTACTTCAGGACAGGAGATGTACTGTATTGTGATAGCAGAACTAGACTGTGGTACATTGTTGATCGAAAGAAGGAGCTTATCAAGGTCCGCGGCTTTCAGGTCGCGCCGGCGGAGCTAGAGGGAGTGATTTTGGAATGTCCGGGAGTGGCAGATGTCGCTGTCATTGGAGTCAACGGATGTGTCGGTAACGAAGAGGTACCTAAAGCATATGTCGTCAAAGGGAAAGATGAAGAGTTAACGGAACAACACGTCAAGAGCTGGGTCGAGGCAAAGCTGGCAAAGTACAAAAGGCTCGATGGCGGCGTGGTTTTCGTGCCGGCTATACCGAAAAGTCCGAGCGGTAAGATCTTAAAACGTGTACTGAAGGAAGGGATGACGGAAGTAGCGACACGTGCGAAATTGTGAATTATATTCTTTCCTATCAGAAGGGCTCTGTTTGCCAGAAGTCCAAATTGGTCGGAGCGACTTGACCCAGAAATGTCTCGTCGAAACCGAAGCCGTATGATCCAATCAGATCGTACATGTTGTACTCGTTTGTCGCGTCGACGCTTTCGTCATTGCTCGCTGTAGCGGCCTTGACGGGATCAAAAATGTGCGTAGCAGCTGGCGATGCGGCTGGAAAGCCGCCTTGTGTGACTGAGCCAGAAGGTGTCCCAGCAACATCGAGTCGTTTCAGCAGATCGTTGATTCCTTGAACGATGTGTGTGGTAATATGTTTCTCGTTCAGGTTTTCTGCCACCTTGGCTAAGAAAGAAGACGATCGTCGCGACAGCGAGAGCACTTGGTTGATGTTGAAATTGAGGCCTAGTCCAACGGGCTCCGTCGCCCACTCTGGCGACTGTACTTGTGCCATGCCTCCCCAGGTTTTCGCCATCTTTAACAAAAATGTAGCGCAGAATGCGACCATGGTGTGCGTGAAGATTGGGACTGCAGTCATTGCTTTGCGGAGATCTGGCTCTTCGAAGATGAGGGTAAGTGTACTTGTGGCGGCGGTGATGGCGATGTTAGCTGCTTCGCGGCGGTCGTAAGAGAGCGACTCGGACGTTGCAGCGCTGGGTGGAGGCAGAGCACGTAGCGCCAGAGAGTTGAGCTGAAACCTAGCGAAGTGATAGTATAGCACTACACCCTTTGATGGATATGATCCGATAGATGGGCTATCAGCGGATCTAGCCTGCCATGCAAGTCGCCATTGCTCGATTGCAAAGTTGAAGAGGCGGAGTTGCTGGAAATCAGGCTCCGTAAGTGGCTGTTCTGGATCGCTGCCATAGGCGATGTATGCTTCTGTCAAGATCTTGAATAGAGTAACTTGAGCTCCCAATCTGATGTCGCCTGGCGTCGTCTTTGGGCTGTCGAGGAATTGTTCGATGTTCTTGATCGCGATATCTTCGTGAACGATAGATGGACGTCCATATGCGATGCTAAACTGTTTGTCGCACACATACAGGGCATACCATAGGCGGACATTGTCGCGCTGCTCTTCGTGCCCTCGCATTAGCCTCTGGTAAGACATGTGCAAGTTCATCTCCACGGCATTCCTCACAGCAAGTCCTGCTAACTTCCAGCTCAGGTTGGAGAGATAGAAGGCAGCAAGAGTTAACGCACGGATGTCATCGAGGTTCTGAGGCCGAGCAAGAAAGGTACTGTAGACTAACGATACAAAGATGTTGTAGCATTTTTGCAACGCTTCGTCTCGACCAGGCGTATGCAACGCTGAGATGGTAAGCACAGCCGCGGTGAGAAGCGTGGACTGACGTCGAGCTGCTTCCAAAGAGTCATATGGGAAGAGTACACCAGCCCAAAGGTAGAGACGTATGTCTTGCATATACCGTCGGAATAGATCTTCAGCTTCCGCTAAAGGTATGATACCTTGAGCTATGAAGTCCTCCTCAACAGAGTTGGAATTCGGCTTCCACCGAACGCTGCTCCGAAGATTCCGGATCCGCGTAAGGTCGTATAGACTCCTCATGGGCGCTGTTACCAAGCTGGATTCTTCGCCCGACTCACGCTCTACAGATGTGTCTCTCGTCATATCCATAGGCGGTGGGACGACGAACGTAGAGTGTCCATTTTCAGACATCATGTTTGTCGGGCTGATAGTCATACTATGCGTGCGTCCTGAAGGCAGTTGAGGCGAGCCTTGACTGACTGGACTATCCAAGCTCGGAAGTTTATTGTGCTGAAGAAGACGCTGCACCGCCGAGCGTAGCTGCCCCAGTTCGGCTGTCGCATTGGATTTCCAACTGAATTACTTAGCGACGGCGCTGAAGACACGTATTCAAAGCACTTACGCAGCATCTTCGTCTAGTAGTCGCTGGTTCAGGTTGTATGGGACGCACTCAGTTCCGCTCCGCAGGCACTTTGCGCACTTTGCTTCATTGTCGACAGGTTCACACTTGATCTTGTGCCGTTTGCACTCCGCACCTATACAGCATGGGCAAGGAGTCGCGATAGAGTGGGGCGCGTTGACTTACAGGCTCTAATTCTCGGAGTGCGCGGTGCAGGTCGGCGTCCATCTTCATGATCCGCATCCTCACTTGGACGCTTCAGTGGAGACATATCCAAGATTCCATGCCATCGGACCTGCAAAGGATGAAACCGTCAGAGATCTTCGCGACACGACATTCAGGCTGAAAACACCGTGCTCGCGTTCGCGCTCGTGACATGATGAGATTGTGAGGAGGCTAGCCAGCCATCGCGGAATATCAGCGCTTAACCCAAAGCAGCGGCAAAGTGGGGTGGTTCATGCACATCAAGCCGTTCATGAGCTAATGTGCCGCACCAACATCCTGTTTACCCGTCAAGGGTCTTGCTCTGCCAGCTCGAGAGCTCAAGGCAAAATTGCGGAAAATCTCCATGCTGCGATGGTAACACGGTTTGATCACTGAGATGCGCACGCAAAATTATACAGCGCAGCTTCCGGAAATAAGCACCAGCCTCGAAATTTCAGCTCCAGACCGAGGTTTGCTCACACTATTCTATTGGTTAGAAAAGCAGCAGTCAAGCTGTGGTCATTGGCATAGACTATCCTGTCGTAAAAATCCAGACTTGAATGTTTACATTCGCATTAGGGGGGCACTACAAGCAAGGCTTCCAAAGACGACTTGCAAGATCTATCATTAAGGGAACAATCCTTCAGCCATAAGGATCAGCACGGTCACAAAACTTTACTTTATTGCTAACACACCCCCTGAGATTAGTGTCATGATTACCGTCTTGCTTCATGTCATTCATATCCGTTCAGTCTGTACGAATCATGCAAGACCTTTTCTATTAGTACGCAGTCTATAATCTATGCTAGTACTACCATGATATTTAGCAATCAGCGTGTTCCGATTTCTCCTTATAACCGGTTTCCTACGTGGGGTCATTCTCGCCGATTTTACTGGAACAAAATTTGTCCATTTTCGTCTTTAGGCTTGTAGACCTCAAGCGTAGAACATGTGATGCGATTATACTTTGTAAGAACTTCACTACAGACCTCCTTGAAATGCTACAGGGGTCTTCAACGTACTAACAGAAAACGATTAGATTCAGTCATGTTTTATGACAGTCGCACCTCCACTATGACGAAGACCTCCACCACAGGTTTCATACTGTGACCGTATTTCCAGAACGATCCTCCGAACGCATATTGGCTAGCAGAATCATCTCTGCATAATGAATTTCCTACACCCACATTGAAAGCCTCCTCTTATCAAGCAGTGCATCTCTCGCCATATTGCTGTCTCATTTGAACATGATTTAGACGAATCCCGAAACTGCAGAAACAGCGCTCGTAGCTTCCGACGCACAGGTGCTCAATGAAATCAAAAGCTAGAGGAAAAAGAATTGCCTCAAGGACGACAAGATTTTGCATGAATGATATCACGTTGTCTGTCCGTTCCTCAAAATGGCTATCGCAGAGGGGGAAGACCATTGCAGTACGTTGGCGAGCGGCCTGAAAGTATTCATGCTTACACTGCAAGAAGAGGAGAGAGTTTTATAGGGCATGGAGATATTGCTTGTGCGCTCGAGAGCTATGCGCAGATGCTTGAGTACAGTGAGCTGCCAACCAGGACTCCTCTCCAAGTCTGCGTATTCCATATATTGATCACACTACCCCCTATTTGAGAGACAAATATCATGAGGTTCTCAATCTTCGTCGCCAGTATCATTGCTAGGTACGTAGCTTCCACGCCCGACAATGACTCGCGCTATCAGCAGATGGCTAACGAATCGAACAGCGCGTCTTCTGTCACCGGCCAGATTGAGCTGACAGGTGAGCAGAGGATATGTGAGTGTCGCATCACGGCTTCTGGATCAAGCCCATCGGTCGTCTTTTCCAGTATTTCATGTGCTGCAGTAGGCGGAAGGGAGTGTTTCAGCGAGATAGGAAACTCCATCTCGGTTCGTTTTTCCATCATTCATGCTTTAGTCCTTCTACAGAACTCTCTTTCATGCCGCAGACATTGGCAATTGGAAGGAAAAAGCGTTTACTAGGAACTGTGGCTAGTGTGTTACGAGCGGAGCCGCTCGGACGGATGAACAATGTCGTGAATGGGGCGGTAATCCCGTTGACAATCGCGTTTACAGAGCTGTCTGTAGAACTTACAATGGAGGCAGGTGCCCTGCGTAAATTGCTTCCGTACAGACATTATATCCGTTGAGAAGTTTGTGCAAGGCAGCCTCTTTTTTTCCAGGACAGTAGTTTGTTTACTCCTGGAATGAAAGTCTTCTGAACGCACCTTACACGATTTTGACTATCTCCGGCTCTGTATCGGCAAACCACTTCTCCCATTCTGACCATTTTTCGAGGGCTTCCCAGGCCTGCCAAGGCTTCCAATACTTGCGATATTGCGGTCCTGAACAACAACCCAGTGACGTGACGCCGAGACCCAACCGTTGATAGCGGAGTTCGCCCCCATCGATGATTTGCCCCAAAACAAGAATGCAAGCACCAGTTTGATTCTGACATGTCCCAGTAAATAGCAATAGACAGAACACTGTTCCACATCTTCTCGTGCCTGGATCATGATTCTTCTTGTTGTTTGCGCTGTCCACTTGAATATGGTCCGAATTACCCAGGAACGAAGAAGGATCACGTCGGAGATTCACATGTGTTCCAGTTGTGCTCGAGTCCGTGTTGGAAGATATGCTGCAATCCGGGAAAACAATCTGTGCATTGAAGCCCTCCTTACATACGCTGGCACGACCGTGGTCGTCGTAGTACATGACTACTTCGACAATATGTGCGCGTAGCTGGATGAAACTTCCAGCCTGCACTGCCCCGAACCTATTACCGGCGCTTGGAATGCAGTCTATATCAAGGATATCGACTTTGGATTCCAATACTGGCTTGGGCCCGGGATCCATAGACGGGAGCAACCAAGAAGAGGACCAGACCCTAATGGATCGCATAGCATTAGATGCCCATGACCACGACGGGACCCCATTATCCATTGCGGGCCTAATCAGAGCTCTCAAGCTCGGGCCATCGGTGAATTCCTCGCGATACCAGCCGAGATTGAATGGTAGTTCCACCTCCCAAAGTCCAGCCAAGTAATTGGACTGCAATGTAGCGTGCAAGCGTGAAGCGACACTCGAAATGGCGGGTAACTTGTCGGTACCATATGTGAGATCTCGTGTCGAATATTCCCCGATCCAAGTGTGCCAGTTCTTAAGGGTCGCCTCATGTTCGTCCCGCTGCTTATATGCGCCGTCTTCATACCGGCATTCGCAGGCGACTGTGACCTTACAACGCCACTTGGCTTCTATGTCCGTGAAGCTGAGGATACGCACAGCAAAATGACGCTCTTGCCATGCCCACGCTCGTCCTTCAAGTGGTCCGTCAATCCAAGTGGGGCTGAGATATGGTTCATATCTTCTAGCCCTGAGACAGCTTGTTGACTCTTCGTCGCCCGACGCGTCTGTGGCTCTGAGACCGATATTCACGGTGTGGTAATGTGATCTTGTTGAGGGAGCCTCTGCACCCAGAAAGGGGACCGAGCCATGGTCAGATGACACCGCTGCGACGACAAGCAGTGCGTTCTCATATATCTTGTCCATGTGCTCAGCCTGCCGTGCCCAGTCATCTTGCTTGTCCTGAATGATGCAAAGACTATCAATCCACAGGTAGCATACTCCCAGCTCTCGGGCTACGATGATTGAGTCCTGAAATGTGGGCGGCAAGGTCGATACGTCAATCATTTTTTTGTGGTTGTGTATGTTTTTGGTTGTGGTACACGTAAAACGCTTCGAACCCCAGCAATGCGACAAAGCAATCCATGGCCCTCGGGGGACTTTATCTCGCGCCTCGACGAGTCGTAGGCTGCTTTGACTGCCGCTGTTCCACTCCAAACATAGCAGTCTTTCGGGAAGCCAGGAAGAATCTTGTGCTTCAGCGCACTTAGGGTGTTCCATTAGACATGTTCGCAGCGATGACCGCACAAAGTCCCACATCAGCTTGTCGCCAGGAACAAGGGCAATTTCTCTCCGCACAGGGAAGCGAGCACTGTCCAGCCCTTCAGCCCGCAATTCATGGTCTGAAGAGCGGAACATATCCAGACCCATCTCTAGCGTGGTCCTCCCATTCCATGCAGATTGAATGAATATGTAGCCCGGACCGATGTTTTCGGATATGTGAAGTTGAAGAACGACGTTGGCTTCTTGACTGAAACGCATCCAATTCCACTCATAGTTGTCCGCAAAGAATTGTGGGTCCAGGGCCTGAATCGTCTCGACTACCAGGTTGCAGTACGCGCATGAAGAGGCGAGAAGATTGGCCAGCCAGGTTGCAACAGGGTACTCAGTCCCCTGGCCTGGTTGAAAATCGTTACAAATACAGCAACTGCCCATCGTTGAACGATAGAGAAGGACAATATTGAAAAGATCTGGTTACCACCTCAAGAAAAAACAGCAGTGTCAGCAAAGCGAGGTAGGAGGAAGCTGACTAACGTACTCTATATGCAAGTCACCCCACCCTACGTCAACCAAGCATTGGCGCTATAGGCCCCACTTATTCTACAGCTATCATGCACAAAGCTACTGCCTCTACATCGACAGCGTTTCGAAACCAGCAACCACTTGCGACACTCTCTTGAGGCGAAACATGGGCGCGAAGTCGGATCACACCCAGGGCATCGAAAAATCGGACTCGACTGATGCCAACATGAACACCAAGGTTGACAGAAACCACGTCGGCTCTGACGAGACACCACCGATATACTACGACGCTGAGCCATCAGCCCAGCCACCAAGCTACCATAATTACCAATCCACTTCGCCTACTGAACTGCAAAATGGGCCTGCATCACGACCTAAGCCCAGAGATCAACACAGCACTGGCGCACCCGCAAGTACCATCGCGGCAGTCCTTGGTTCTGAATATACCGATTTAGACGCTCAGCGACGAGCAGACCGCAAGAAGAAAACGTTTCGCGAGCGCTGGAAAAATTTCAAAGAAAGAAATCTTAGAGCCCATGATGTTTCCGAGGACAGGGCTGGAGCGGCGAGTGCGGCCGAGTGGAATGTGCAGGGTGGAAGACTGAGTGGAGGACTGGCGACACCGTATCGGAGGAAGGGGAAGTAATTTAGTAATTGCTGCATCCTCAGACCATAGGAATAATAGAGAGGTAAGATATTAAGAAAAGGTACTACTAATATACTCTCTTTTA